CATCTAAAAATCAACAGATCATTATCATTTTAATAATATATGCATCGTTGTTGTTGTGCACGTCCTGTGAAGAGATGATGCCAAACATAGAGGGCTTCTAGGGGTATCCATAACCTTGGACCAGGCCGTATCCTGAGCAGCTACTGTGGCGGTCATGGAGAAGTGAAGAGACTGATTACTGTAAGACCCCAGTTACAGACAGGTCCTCGCATTGATCTTGTGGGCCATCCTGAACACCCGCCCGTGACCAACTCACACCTGCAGCTTCTCCATGATGGGTGTCCAGCATTCTCCAGCCTCCGGCATCTAGACTGCAGCTCTGCACAAGAATTCTGGCCAGAGGAGAAATGGTCGTGCCCGACTGAGCCTGGTTTCTCTCCAGGTTTTTATTTCCATAACTTTCACCAAATGGTGAAGTTTGTTCCTCCACTGTCGCCTCTGGCTTTCTCGGTTTGGGACTTGTAGAGCTGCGTATCGATGGATTTGCTCTTCAGTGTTTGAACTCTCAGCAGTGAAAATTAATCCACACTGAACTTCAACTCTGAACACTGGACTGACAGTTTCAATCTACTATGATCTTCTATGTGAAGCTGCTTTGACACAATCTACATTATAAAAGCGCTATACAAATAAACACGATTTGAATCGTTCTATATATCGTTATCGTACATGGTGTGAACAGGCTTTAACTGTATGTTTTAAGAACCGCAGGTCCTCACAGTAAAAACCAATGCACAACGAATGTTCCAAAGTCAGGCAAGAAACAAGCAAGCATGGTTTAAGCAAGGCTTGGGGAATGGACGTGGCTATGGAGCTGTATAATTTGCTGAGAGGGGTAGAAAGGGATGATGAGTAGGCCTGAATGTTATCCAGGACAGGGAGTAGGTGGTGACTTGGCAAATAATGAGAACTGTGAAAAACATTTTAGAGAAACTAACATATTAAAATCAATTAAACCGTGATTTGCTTTGATAAAGCTGACTGGGTTTAATGCTGCCATGCTCCACTGTGTGTGTGTGTGTGTGTGTGTGTGTGTGTGTGTGTGTGTGTGTAAGCACATGATGAAGAGCATTAATAAACTGCAACGTCACGCTGATACGCTGCAAAAACAGGCTTTCCTGCTTGGGTTTTGTCTTTTTCCTAGTACAAATGCAGTTGAAATCAGAAATTTACATACACTTTAAAAAAATGAACATAACCTTTTTTTAATGTCTGATAGTAAATCGTACTTAACGTTTACTATTTTAGGTCTGTCAGTATGACATAAATGATTAGCATTTGCTAAATGCCAAAATAATGAGGGGATTTTTTTTCAAGAATCTTTTATTAATTTCTAGACAGTCGAAAGTTTACACACATTTCCTTGGTATTTTTTTTAGTTTTGCTTTTAAACTGTATAACTTTGGTCAAATGTTTTGGGTCTCCTTCCACAAGCTTCTCACAATAGTTTGCAGGAATTTTGGCCCGTTCCTCCTGACCGTACGTTCACACCGGAAGCGGCGAGAGCATCCAAGGTCGCTCTGGCCGCCCTGGCGACAACGCTCTCTGCCTTCAGCTCCTGCGGCGAGAGCGTCAAAACTCGCTACATTGATCTCATATTTAAAGGAGCCATTGCAGGATATCAGTTACATTCCTGCATAAAACATGTTTCTAGCGTGAAAATGCGCCGAACCGCGTCATAGCTCATTACCATAAAGTTGACTTCATTTCAACTCTCCTCGACGCTCACGCCGGCGAAGACGCGCCGCGCTGCGCCTCGCCGCCTATTGCCGCCGGCTCTCATTGAAAATGAATGACTTCCGGCTACTTTGACGCTGTCGCCGCTTTCGGTGTGAACGTACGGTGACAGAATTGGTGTAACTGAGTCAGATTTGTGGGCTGTCTTGCTCGCACAAGCTTTTTCAACTCTGCCCACACATTTTCTATAGGATTGAGTTCAGGGCTTTGTGATGGCCACTCCAAAACATTCACTCTGTTGTCCTTAAAGCACATTTTAACTAATTTGGCAGTGTGCTTAGGGTCATGGTCTGTTTGGAAGACCCCAATAGTTGTAATGTCCTGGCTGATGTGTTGAGATGTTGCTTCAGTATTTCTCCATAATGTTCTTTCTTCATGATGCCATCTATGCTGTGAAGTGGACCAGTCCCTCCTGCAGCAAAACAGCCCCACAACATGATGCTGCCGCCTCCATACTTCACAGTTGGGATGGTGTTTCTAGGCTTGTAAGCTTTCCCCTTTGTCCTCCAAATGTAACACTGGTCATTATGGCCAAACAGTTCAATCTTAGCTCCATCAGAGCACAGGACATGTGTCCAAAAATTAGTCTATTTCCCAGTATAATTTAGCTAATTGTAATCTGGCTTTTGTTGTTGATTCTGGCTTGTTGATTTTCCCATGTTGTCACACAGGGAAGCAGTGTGTTTGAGCTTTTCCTTGAATACTATTCTACAGTTGTGCCTTACATTAACTCAAATGTTGTCAATTAGCCAATCAGAAACTTCCAAAACCTTGACATCATCATCTGAGCTTTTCCAGAGGCAGAATAATCTTATTGTATGTAAACTTGACTTTCAAGAAAAGTTATAACAATTTCTCAAACAATATCTCTCTCATTATTCTGCTATTAAGCATAACAGAAACAAAAGTGATCATCCTAAAAGTCTACTCACATTAACATCTGACTTTCAAAAAAATGGTTGTGTGCCTTTTTATACAATGTACGTAAACTTCTGCTTTCAACTGTATCTAAACATTCTTAAATCAAGAAGCAATTTCTAGACAAGCAAAAACACATTGTCTTGTTTTCAGAAATAATATGCCAAAATAAAGTTAGATTTTCCTTAAAACGAGCAAAATAATCTTACATCAAAAGTAAAAACAAGATTATTTAGCTCACCTCATTGTCAGAATATCTTGCTTGTTTTAAGGAAAAACTCAGTACATTTTGGCATATTATTTCTGAAAAGAAGACAATATTTTTGGCTTGACTAGACATTTTTGGAATAGAAACAAGGCCAAAAAAGTAAGATTATAAGCATTTAACGCACTAAGCATTTTTTACAGTGTAAGAAGTGGCAGCGCTTATCAAAGTCGAACACATGACACCACGTGATGCAGTTTGTACTTATTGTGTGTGTGTGTGTTTCATTTGCATGTTGTCAAATATAGATTTGACTATTACTGCACCTGTTCCTTTGTTTGAAGAGAAAACAAATGACAGACCGATCATGTATAGTTGTTCATGCTTTTTGCAATATTGCTAATGTGCTGTCATGACAATGCTGGTAAAACGACACTAAAATAAAATTATATATTTACATGCATATAATTTATATATATATATATATATATATATATATATATATATATATATATATATATATATATATATATATATATATATATATATATATATATATATATGAATTCATATATTAATAAATATATTTATTAATATTAACTTAAGTTGTTGATTTAAATTTTAAATTTAGTTAAACTAACAAAATTACTTCATATTTATTAATAAATAATTATAACAAAGCATTTTGGAGCATCTCTATTATTTATTTATGTATTGGACAGTGATGCAAGTTAATTAAACATTTACAAGCATCCATAAGTCACGTATCTTAAAACAAAATATATCAAGGAATGTGTACTGGCATTTAAAGTCGGCTTGAACCGGAAGTTGCTAAGACTTTTTTTTTCAGTATGTTGACGCACTTCCAGTCTGAAACAGAATATTGAGTAGGGGGAGGGGCTTTCTTTATGCACATCATTCCCTCGTGGCAAATCGGGTAAAGTCTAGGGATACAGCTGCGGCCGAAAAGATAACGATTCATTCATTCATTGATTTTCTTTTCGGCTTAGTCCCTTAACTCATCAGAGGTTGCCACAGTGGAATGAACCGCCAACTTATCCAGCATGTTTTACACAGTGGATGCTCTTCCAGCTGCAACCCAATACTGGGAAACTCCCATTCACTCTCACATGCACACACATACACTACAGCCAATTTAGTTTATTTAATTCCCCTATAGCGCATGTGTTTGGACTGTGGGGGAACCCGGAGGAAACCCACGCCAACAGGGGGGAGAAATGCCAACTGACCCAAGCAGCAGAGGCTCGAACCAGCGACCTTCCTCCTGAGGCCACAGTGGTAACCACTGAGCCACCATGCAGCTCTTTATTATTATTATTTACATGTTCCTGTTAATTTCTGCAATAAAAAAATGCAGAAGCAAATGATCAGACTTTGATTGAAGATGACCAAAACAAACTGTTTTAGTAGATCAACTTGCACAGATTAAAGAATAGCAGCTAGCAAAATAAACATTGTGAATTTAGATTCCACACGGACTTTAAAAATCGCAATTAACGTTAAAACGGCTTGCCATATATTATGAAATCTGCTGTTCACTCCATTCATACTGTTCGTCTATCATTAGAGATGACTAGTCACATTATTATTATTATAATTTTGTAAATAAACATTAGCATGTGGTGCAATGCCATCACACACAAACTTCACAGGTTTAAGGAAACCATTTCTATACGCTTAAAGTAACTAAATCTGCAATAATTCCTCTATTAAACACATGTACGTCAGAAAATCGATTAAAATACCTAAAATTAAATCTACACACAACACAAATAAGCCGTTTCATCAGCTCAAAGCAAGGCTAACCTAACCTAACCTCACAATAAATCTGTGTTAATCTGTATAACGGAGCAGCCCGCTGCGTATGTCGTTATTATACGAACCAGCCACACTTGTTATGTCATACATATATATACATATATAATATCAAACGCAGCAGATTACAACTCAAAAAACCCTAATATGTTCGTTAGCAGAGCTTATAATGATCTGAAAACATGAAGCCTGATTTGCGCACCATGACAACACGAGCGCCATGTCTATCCGACTGCGCTATTTAAATATACCTGCTCAGAAATAAACAAACGCGAGTGTTTGGCAGACAAATAGACACACTTACCTTTGAGTTTAAACGACGCGCAGTGAAATATGCCGTTTTCTTATGAAACACCGGCAGAAATATTGTCCGTGCGTTGGCTTGTGTTGACGTTGGCTGCAGTAAATGCGTGTCTGCTCTGAATCCGTTCGCCACGCCCACCGCGAGCTTGTGACGTAAGTGAAGAGTCACCTGACACAACATCTTCGCACTGTACTGACTACAGGAACTTTCCCATTGCGTAATTGCTGGAATGTTCTACAATTTTCCACTTTAATCCAGACTAAATACTGTTTCGAGTAAAATCTAGTAAAAAAAATAGTAAACTAGGGGAGTTGCTGCAAAAATAGAGCATTTCTGAATGCAGATGCTTTCTGACATCCAAATAAAGCAAATATATTCCCAAACAATATCATAAGTGACATTATTAGACACTACAGAAATGAAAGTGATGGCTTTGGGTTAGGTTTTTATTTATTACAGCAGCATTAGGAGGGAAAATTGCTCTGACTTTAATAAAATATTATATACTTATCCTTATTATTGCAAATATTCATTCATTCATTCATTTCCCTTTATTCATCAGGGGTCTCCACAGTGGAATGAACCACCACTTTATTCAGCATTTGTTTTAAACAACAGATGCCCTTTCAGCTAAAACCCAGTACTGGGAAACACCCGTACACTCTCACATTCACACTCATACACTACGGACAATTTAGCTTACCCAATTCCCCTATAGCGTATGCGTATGGACTGTGGGGGAAACCAGAGCACCTTGGGGAAACCCACGCCAACACAGGGAGAACATGCAAACTCCACACAGAAATGCCAACTGACCCAGCCGAGGCTCAAACTATTGACCTTCCGGCTGTGAGGCCACGGTGCTAATCACTGAGACACTATGCTGCCCAAAATATTTATGTTGCTAGTATAATTATGTAGTGCACTTATGTTTGTATTGTGTATAAAATGAATAGCATATTATATCCATCATCTGTGAGTTGGAAAGAAATATGTAAATGTTACTTAAAAAAGGTCAAAGTGGCTTCTGGTTAGCTTAAATATGTGTCAAAGCTGAAGCAAATATTGCTAAATATTATGGAATATTATGGAGAGTTAGGGAATGCTTTGCATTATTAAATTGACCTAACAAAGCAGGCATAATAGGGTATGGAAAACATCTTAGTCATTTCTCACTCACAGTGTTTTAGTTATTTTAAATATTCTGAAAAATCTGCACATCATAACAAATAATAATAATAATAATAATAGTGATAATAATAATAGTAATAATAAAACAATAATAATAATAATAACAAAAACAATAAATAATAATAATAATAATAAATAATAATAGTAATAATAATAATAGTCATAATAATATTAGTAATAATAAAAATAATAATAATAACAAAAACTATTAATAATAATAATAATAATAATAATAATAATAATAATAGTAATAATAATAATAATAATAAATAAATAAAAAATAATAGTAGTAATAATAAAATTAATAATAATAACAATAATAATAATTATAAAATAATATTAGCAATAATAATATTAGTAATAAAAATATAATATTAATAATAATACTAATAATAAAAAAATTGTAATAATAATATTAATGGTAATAATAATAATATTAATGGTAATTATAAAAATAATAATAACAACAACAACAATAATATTAATAGTAGTAATAATATTAATAATAGTAATGATAACAATAGTAATAATGACAATAATAATAATAATAATAATAATAATAATAATAACTGAGCCACTGTTGCCACCCCATATAAGTTTTAATGATTGCTATTTAGAAAGCTACGAATAAAAGCCGACGCACACCACAAATGCACACGACACATTTATTAAACGTTTTCACCACATATTTACAAACCAAATGTTGACACCTAAATTGAAATCGAAGAAAATAAAGTCATTGGCAGCACTAATCTGAGTTTCCACAATGGCATGTGACGACTATGAATGCTTGTTTTCATCTGGGAGACGACAATGACCATCCAAAATAATGATTCATTGGATTTACCAAATATTTTTAAGGTAAGTGGTGGCAAACAATTGATGTGTGCTGAATTTAAACTATCAACTTAAATGTGATAATGTTCAAGTTCATATGTTTGTTTAAATTCAGCCCATATAAATTGTTTGCAGCCTCTTACCTTAAACAAAATGTTTTAAATCCAATGAATGATTTACTTCAGTGCGTTCAGTTGCAGTTCCTCATCAGACTGTCCAGCCCGGTCTTGCTGATGGTCCCGTAGGCCTGAGAGTAGCTGCCCAGTTTGGCTCTTGGATCTCCGGCTGCAGAAACATTGGCTTGACTCTGGAAAACCTTCTTGCTGAACCGCGGAGGAATCTTGGCATCTCGGGAATTAGAAACAGGCCTGTGGTTCTGCACGGTCAAGATAAGAAGAAAAACATCCTGTGAGACAAACTGTAGCATCCGTCATTCATTCATTAATTTTCTTTTTGGCTTAGTCCCTTTATTAATCAGGGGTCGCCACAGCGGAATGAACCGCCAACTTATCCAGCATATGTTTAATGCATATGTTTAATGTTTAATTCCCTTCCAGCCGCAACCCAATACAGGGAAACACCCACAAACTCTTGCATTCACACACATACACTACAATTTAATTCACCTGTACCGCATGTCTTTGGACTGTGGGGGAAACCAGAACACCCGGAGAAAACCCATGGGAACACAGGGAGAACATGCAAACTCCACTCAGAAATGCCAACTGAGCCAGCCGAGGCTCAAACCAGTGACCTTTTTGCTGTGAGCCGATTGTGCTACCCACTGCGCCACCGAGACGCCCAGCATTCGTTATAATCAAAGTAATTAAGATAGTCTGCAGTTAAAGACTTAATTATTCACCCTCCTGTGAAATTGTTGACAGGAGCGGCACCCGGTGTGGTCTTCTGCTGCTGTAGCCCATCCGCCTCAAGGTTGGACGTGTTGTGTGTTTAGAGATGCTCTTCTGCAGACCTCGGCTGTAGCGAGTGCTTATTTGAGTTACTCTTGACTTTCTATCAGCTGAACCAGTCTGGCCATTCTCCTCTGGCATCAATAAGGCATTTGCGCCCACAGAACTGCCGCTCACTGGATATTTCCTCCTAATCAGACCATTCTCTGTAAATCCTAGAGATGGTTGTGCGTGAGAATCCCAGTAGATCAAAAGTTTCTGAAATACTCAGGGCAGCCCGTCTGGCACTAACAACCCTGCCACGTCCAAAGCCCCTTAAATCCCCTTTCTCCCCCATTCTGATGCTCGCTTTAAACTGCAGCAGATCGGCTTGACCATGTCTACATGCCTAAATGCATTAAGTTGCTGCCATGTGATTGGCTGATTAGAAATGTGCATTAACGAGCAGTAGGACAGGTGTACCTAATAAAGTGGCCAGTGAGTGTATATCTATATGTATTAATATTATCTATATATAATTTACAGTGTAAGTTTCTTTCTGACCTAGGATGAACCTAATAAAGCAAATAAATAAATAAAATTAATACGAACTATTATTCACGTTCCCAAAAAAACTCATTTCATTTAACTAATTTCGTTTGAAGCCGAGGCAGTGGCGCAGTAGGTAGTGCTGTCGCATCACAGCAAGAAGGTCGCTGGGTCGAACCTCGGCTCAGTTGGCGTTTCTGTGTGGAGTTTGCATGTTCTCCCTGCCTTCCTCCGGGTGCTCCGGTTTCCCCCACAGTCCAAAGACATGCAGTACAGGTGAATTGGGTAGACTAAATTGTCCGTAGTGTATGAGTGTGTGTGTGAATGTGTGTGTGGATGTTACCCAGAGATGGGTTGCGGCTGGAAGGGCATCCGCTGTGTAAAAACTTGCTGGATAAGTTGGTGGTTCATTCCGCTGTGGCGACCCCGGATTAATAAAGGGACTAAGCCGACAAGAAAATGAATGAATGAATGAATTTCGTTTGAAATGACATAACCCAAATCAGAGAATCATGTTTGACCCATGTCAGTGTAAACTGGAGATGTTTATGCTAAATAAGCAGTATAGCAGTGATTATAAAAACATTTCCCCCAAACAAAAAGAGTCCACTCACCAAGCATGCAGAGGTGACACACAGCCCGGGGGAAACAATGGCTTCATCCTTGCGGATCAGGGGATTATTCAGTGGCTGCGCGAGTGTGAGAGAGAAAGAGTGTGTGCGACCAACAGGAGCCGATCGACCGCGTGGGTCTGCAGCCTGATGGACAGAACACACAATACAGTTGAAGTCAGAAATATTCACCCCCCTGTATATGTTTTCCCCAATTTCTCTTTAACGGAGAGCAGATTATCTCAGCACATTTCTAATCATAATAGTTTTAATAACTTATTTCTAATAACTGATTTATTTGATCTTTGCCATGATGACAGTAAATAATATTTATTTCAAGACACTAGTATTCAGCTTAAAGTAACATTTAAAGGCTTAACTAGGTTAATTAGAGTAAAGTTAGGGTAATTAGGCAAGTCATTGTATAACAGTGGCTTGTCCTGACTATCCAAAACAAATATTGCTTAAGGAGGCTAATATTAATGACCTTAAAATGGCTTTTATAAAATTAAAAACTGCTTTTATTCTAGCCAAAATAAAACAAATAAGACTTTCTCCAAAAGAAAAAACATTATAGGAAATACTGTGACAAAATTCCCATGCTCTGTTAAAGGGTCACGAAACACCAAAACACATGTTTTGAGCTGTTGACAATCGTATATGTGTCCCACACTGCTAAAAACACTATTAGGACACACATATTACAATAAAAAGTGAAAATTGGTTGTTTTTGCATTTTTTGAGCAAATTCGTACTTCCGGTTTGAAACGAATTTTTGAAGCTGCGTCACGGTCATGACATAATAGCGTGTATTCCAGCGTGTAGACTGGACGTCTGTACCTGGGAGTGCCTTATTACGTCTCTGAGTGTGTTGCATTGATTCATGAGCATGGCTTGGTTCAAACCATCAGCACGCTCTATTATGTATGCACTGCAACTTCATTAATATGCATGCTAGCTTTCTTAGACTATACCTGAAACAGTGTTCAGACAGCAGAGAGATGCCACGTCGTGTTGCCAAAAGGAATGAGAAAAGAATAAGAAATGTTTGGAGATACAGGTCGTCAGTGTTGATTTTATAATATGCTGCAGTGAAGGTGTTGTTTTCATTTTCTCTCCATGAGAGCGCAGCTGGACTCACATATGGATTGTGCACGCGATGCTCGACAACAATACGTTTTTACGGAACATTTTTTTACTCGAGATCTTTTCTCATCTGTAAATGGTGAGATCTGGATTTGCTGCTCGTCTCCTTTAAAAAAGACGCAGCTCCAGTATGAGCTGATTGTCCTGTCTACATATTCGGTTAGTGTGTGCGATCAGCGCCCTTTCTTTGTTCATTCAGATGGCAAAGTTATAGTTGGTATGGTCAGCAGAACTCTTCCAGTGTTTAAAGACAGACCTTAGAATGATTTCTAAGTTACTTAGTTTACGTTAACATCACTACAATATTATGGACTGAACGATCCGCTGTAAATGCTGCTCTCTGAGTGTAAACACGTGAACACTGTAAGCAAACTATTGCCGACCCTCTTGTTTAACTTTCGCCACATTTCGTGACAGGATTGTCTACACACACACGGCTTTCTGACCTACTGAGTGCATCTGAGTTACAGAGAAATGCTGAGTCATATACAAGGTGCAGTATCAAACATTTCACTGTCATTAAACACAGTCTTTCTCCCCTGTGTGTGTTTGTTTTTCCTTTGTGAAAATTAGCATGTGTCCAAATGGGAACTCCCATTTTTATTCAAACCCCTTCCCATTTTCCCTCCCCCGACACTCCCACCTAAACAGAGCTAGACACACCCACTTTCCTGACTTTTCTAAACTAGAGGTGTGAAAACATCCTGCTGAAACGAGGGGTTTCATGGCCAATTGGGAAATATTTAAAAAAAATAAAAAAATCACAAGTGGGCAAACATTTCTGACTTCAACTCTGTATATGAGGTCAAAGATGAGAGTTAAAATGTGCATCATATTACCACACAATAAACAAACATCAAACAATACAGCTTTTTTACTAAAACGCAAGTGAGGAGAGACTGCAGCACGCACCACAGGCCCGTTAGCACCCTCTGCAGGCAGAACACCAGCGCTCTCCTGATTCCTCTTCACTAATCTCAGATGAGACGGAGGTTTGACTGAACCATCTGCAAAATAATTGAAAACAGCTTTTTATTATGATTTAAGTCTTTTTTCTCCACTAAAAGACAAAATACATGATGACAATTACAATGTAAAATTTCCATATTGACACATTTTAAATTCACTACTTCTGATTGGTTTAAACCCCAGGATGGGCCTAATGTGTGTCTTTTTAATTAATTTTTTTTTTTTGCCTGGTGCGACTTCAGATTTTATTTACCACTGAGAAACCAGTTCTCAGCACTGTAGTGCACTGTAGGTAATTACAGGCCACTGCCATGCTAATTTAAAAGGATAGTTCCCCCCAAAAATGAAAGTTTACTTTGGTTCCAGAGTTTATTCATAAACAAATTTCGAGAGGATCATGTGCTTATGATTGTTCACAGCTGTTCCAACTTTAGCTAATGACTGTTTATCCTATCAGACGATCCTTAACTCACTATAAATAACCAGACTTTTCTCATTTCAATATCTTCGTCTTGAAGAAACCCCCCCCACCCAACCCTACTGTCCCTCCTTTCAAACGGGCGACACGGTGGCCAGCGATTAGCGCTGTTGCCTCACAGCAAGAATGCCCCTGGTTTAATTCCTTTCCAAACCAGACGGCATTTCTGTGCGGAGTTTGCTCGTTCTCCCCGTGGTCGCGTGAGTTTTCCCCGGGTCCTCCGGTTTCCTTTCACAGTTCAAAAACAAGCACTCTAAATAATTAATCCAAATACATTAGCTAAACTCTGAGTACACCTTTCAGCATACATATCCGACACTTAGCTACAACAAGCAAGAGGGGGAGTCATCGAGATCTACCTGAGCTCAAACTCCCCTCTCGCCTTGCAACGGGAGGGAGCCCAGGGCTCGAGGATCCCTTAAGCTCAGGGCTCTCTCCCGGGACATCATGCCACACAAGCTTTTGATAGATCATCAGCTAAGAGTGAACTCTTGAAATATCTTTACAAAGATGAGAAAAAGCCATGGGAAGATATGCCAGACGTTGACCCTTAGTGGAAAAGTAAATTGTGATGTGAACTCCGTATGCAAAAAGAAGCACATGAGTGAGTGTGTAAGGGGTACGATTATTGCGCAGAACTCACTGGGCATGTGTGTGATGGGGTTATAGGAGGTTTCCGGAGACGAGTGTGTTTGCTCAGGTCTGCTGACAGCTTTGGCTCCATTAATGCTCTTCTTGTCCCTGGGAGATTTTCTGTCAGGATCCCTCTGAGAAACAGCACCTGCTTCACTGCTTCTGGTTAATCCACCGTCCACATGCACCTCCGCAGGCTTCTCCTCCAGCTTCTGCCTGATATGAGGCTGCTTCTGCATTTGTCGACTGGCCCTTTTCTCCACGATCATCTGGAGGAAAGTCATTTTTTTAAGCATTTAAGATCACAGTATTACTGTAAATACAGTCTTGGGGTTGGTAGGATTGTTTTTTGTTTTTAAAGTTGCTTTTAAGGCTTTGTTTATTTGGTGAAAATCCAGTAAAACAGTTTTATTGTAAAGAATAACATTATGATTTAAAGTAAAACCTTATATTCATAGCAGCATCAATGTAAAAATAAATCCATTATCGAGGAAATTAACTGAATTAATCGGTGTAAAGGTTGCAAACATAATAATTCTGACTTCAGCTGTACCTGAGAAAATGTTTAGTTATATAAATTGTATATAAATGTAAATATATATGCAAAAACAGTTTTGCATGGTTTGGTTTTTATGTATGTGTTTGTGTATTGCGTATACACATGATGAAATATATTACTCACATATCTTATCTCAAAACAAAGGTTTATTTTGGATGAGATGCGTCTTTGCCCTATATACCACAAATATAGTATTTTTTGATGTGGGTTCACAGATGTTTTCCATATATTTATGGTTAGATAACGATCCCATCAATTCAATGTAAAAGCATAAAACAACTACAACCTAAAACCTTAATCACAAAATACGAAAAACTGCTTATTTACAGTGTAACCCTACAAAATTTAAAAGTTAATTATATGAAGTACATATTTTAGTATACTCCATGCAGTAGATATACTAACATCGGTCACACTTTACAATAAGGTTCATTAGTTAATGTTAATTATTGCATTTACTAACATGAACAAACAATGAACAATACATTTACTACTGTATTTGTTCATGTTAGTTAATGAAAATACAGTAGTTCATTGTTAGTTCATGTTAACTCACGGTGCATTAACTAATGTTAACAAGCATGAGTTTGGATGTTAATAATGCATTAGTATTATCATTAATAAATGCTGTACATGTGTTGTTCATGATTAGTTCATGTTAGTAAATGCATTAACTAATACACCTTATTGTAAAGTGTTACCCTAACATCTATATACCAGTAGTATACTTGTAAGTGTATCAATGGATTTGCTCTTCAGTGTTAGGACTTTCAGCAGTGAAATTTAAGCCACACTGAACTGAACTTCAACTCTGAAAACTAGACTGACACTGTTTCAATCTACTAGAACTTCTATGTTAAGCTGTTTTGACACAATCTACAATCTACTTTACAATCTACTAAATTGTAAAAGCGCTATACAAATAAAGATGAATTGAATTGCATTGAATATACTTTCCTTGATAAACCATAGCTTATGCATATTATTAACAACTTAAAGAATAATTTCCAAACTCAGAAAGCAGTTCAGTATTGAAAGAGAAACATTTAGACACATGTCCAATGTTTTAATGGTCTTAAATCTTTAGTAAATATTTTCAGATGCAAAATTTAAGGTTAAGGTAAACAAAGCTAAAAATACACTGCATTGCCAATAGGAGGAAGTGAAATGACATCATTGCGAAAAGAGTCTATTTAATATGCTTGATTATTAATAATACAACATTTTGCATGGTAGAGCGTGCTTCAGTGAGTGATTATTTTTGATTAAGTTCAGAAGGAAGGATTTGTGTCACTGTGACACAGCATTTGTTAACATAACACAGAATCACATGACTGTGTACACACAACATCATGGCTGCTACCAAAGTAGCAAACCTAAAGTTTCTTCTTACCTCATAGAGTTTGTTTCTGTATTGTGTAACGGAGAGCTGGACGTCATCATCCACGGGCAAAATGACGTCATAGAGCAAACTGGGCTCGCTGGATGGGTTGTGAAATCTTGCAAGAATTAAGAGAAAATAATAGAGCGATTCCAGCGTTATGGATGTGACATTTTCAGTAAAAACTCAAAACATAATTTCACACAGAAAGTATATGTTGACATTATATCGAAACTTCTGTTTATATTTTCCAAAACAGCTCACCACAGAGTTCTGGGAGCAGAAAAATATCAATTTGTAAACATGTTTTATATTTTAAATTAGGAAAATAAACATGCGTTATGGATGTGACAAAAAAAGTTTGCGAATTTACAGTCGACAACAGATTATTTAGAAATTCTGACAGTTAAACTGCACAACCCAAAAGACACAATGCTCATCAAACAGGTATGAGTCGCCTCACTATAGAATTAAAATGATTGATTTAATTTTATTTGACATTTTTGCATTTATGAAGAAAAAGTGTCGTGACACATTTCCGTTATGGATGTGACAGCTGTGAAATTGCCACTTGTGTGATTTTGGCAAATTAAATATAATAGTTTGAAATACTGACAGATACATTTACGAGTATTTTTAAAATACTGTAAAAAACTTGCTAACACAAAAAATGTAGAAACGGTTTCTCTATTTTGGAGAAAACTAAATTATTTTTTATGGCAAGGTTGACCTTTGCATGGAATTGCCTAATATGTTTTTTACCTTTACCTCAAATAAGGTTATATATTGAAATATTAAATGAAAAATATATTTAAAAAATCATACATACTATATTTTAATATACTAAAAACAATGTGCATGTATAAGTCCAGGGCTATGAATTAAGAAAGTTAATAGATGGGATTTCATGATTATATATATATATATTTCATATCCTATAAAATCACATACAGGGAAATATTTCTATTTTTATAGGCTTTAATCACAGTCAATGATTTTTTTTTCACTAGAATGTCAGCTAGTACTTCATCAAAACTATTATAACATAATATAAATATTACAATGCCAAACTCAAATCATTAAATAAATGCTGCAGAAGGTTGACTCACTTGGACACATACGGATGCCGCAGAGCTTCTTCCGCGCTGAGTCTCTTGTCTGGATTGAAAAGCAGCAGGCGTTGCAGTAAATCAAGGGCATCAGGTGGCACTGAGGCCGGCAGAATCTCATCTAATGGCACCTGCGGTCTAAACACATATATCATGACAGCAGAGTCAGCTGAGCAAAATATGAAGACAAGCTATTAAATATTAACATGACATACCTAAGCAGCATTCTCTGAATCACAGACGCCCCGTACTCTGATCTGATGGCCAACACATCTATGACAAACAAACACAGTGGTGTCAGTAAAATGTTATTTGATTTGCTTATAAAACAAAGAGGGCGGTGGCTCAGTGGTTAGCACTGTCACCTCACACCAAGAAGGTCACTGGTTCAAGTCCCGGTTGAATCAATTGGCATTTCTCTGAGTGAAGTTTGCATGTTCTCTCCGTGTTGGCGTGGGTTTCCTCCGGGTGCTCCGGTTTCCCCCACAGTCCAAACACATGCGCTATAGGTGGATTGGATGAACTAAATTGACCGTAGTGTATGAGTGTGTGTGTGAATGCGAGTGTGTATGGATGTTTCCCAGTACCGGGTTGCAGCTGGAAGCGCATCGGCTGTGATGACCCCTGATTAATAAAGCGACTAACCGAAGGAAAATTAATGAATGAATTAACTAAACAGGCATTGTGGCCAGTTATCTTAATTGTTGTCTGAAAAACATTATTTATATATATTTTTTTTAATATAAAGTTTTCACATGAGATGGAAACAAACCCTCTGTCGAAGGATGTGGAATGACGTTCATGATTTTTTCTATTTGATTAATGGTAGACGTCCCAGGGAACAGTGGTTTGCCCAGCAGCATCTCTGCCAGGATGCATCCTATACTCCACATGTCCACACCTTTTGTGTACCTGTACAAACATAGGACTCATTATTAATAATATATATGAATATCACAACCCGGACTCATTGTGGAAACGTAGCCCTGCGGACGTTTCTGTGGACCGCAATTTACGTCCCGGGAGGTACGTATTTGAGCGTTTTTTGTTTTCGCGGATCCGCGAGAGGCCGCTGTGTGCGCTTTTTCACATGTCGGGCGCCTCTCGGGAGCGCGCGCCGTTCGCACCCGCGCCGTTCTCGCGCGAAAAGCCGCCGGAACGGCCGACTTGGCCGCCCTCCTCTTCCTCCTCCTCCTTCCCTAAACCCGAGCGACGGTTCGCAAAAGCTCAAAAAAAAAGAGCAAAAGCCCTCGTCTTCGATTTCGACCGCGTTTTCGGATCCCGCCGCATTCTCGCCCTTATTTTTCGGATTACGTTTTTCGTCTTACCTGATTTCCGGAACCGCTGTTCCCCGGACTCGATCACGGTCGTCGTCCACCGTGGCCAGCTCCTCCTCCTCCTCCGGGGCCTCCGCTCCGCCGACGCAATGCTGTGAGCTAAGCGGACAAACTGGTTGCATCGGGAAAGCCCTCCACTTGGAGGCCAGCCGTCGGCCGGCAAGCACGAAGAGAAGGGGCGGAGCGGCGCCACACCGCCCCGCTGCGTTCGCTCGAAAAAAACTAAACGCGTCCGTACATACCTCCGGCAATCGCGGTCTCCAGAAACGTCAGCGGGGCTACGTTTCTTCTTCTTCTTTCTTCTTGAAATTTTCTTCAGTTAAACAAAGAGAAAACTGAAGTCATTGCGTTTGGGAACAGAGATGAGGTTCTCAAGGTGAATGCGTACCTTGGCTCTAAAGGTCAAACGACAAAAAATAATGTCAAGAATCTTGGTGTGACTCTGGAGTCAGATCTGAGTTTCAGTCAGTAAATCAGCATACTATCATCTCAAAAATATTGCAAGAATCAGATGCTTTGTTTCCAGTGAAGACTTAGAGAAACTTGTTCATGCTTTTATCAGCAGCAGGGTGGATTACTGTAATGGACTCCTCACTGGCCTTCCCAAAAAGACAGTCAGACACTTGCAGCTCATCCAGAACGCTGCAGCCAGAATTCTGACCAGAAGCAGGAAATCAGAGCACATCACACCTGTCCTCAGGTCTCTACACTGGCTGCCAGTTACATTCAGAATAGATTTTAAGGTATTATTACTGGTCTATAAATCACTAAATGGCCAAGGACCTCAATACATTACAGATATGCTGACTGAATACAAACCTAACAGATCACTCAGATCATTTGGATCATATAAACTAGAAGTTCCAAGAGCTCAATCAAAGCAGGGTGAATCTGCCTTCAGCCACTATGCTCCTCGCTGCTGGAATCAGCTTCCAGAAATGATCAGATGTGCTCCAACATTAGGCACATTCAAATCAAGACTGAAAACACATCTGTTTAGCTGTGCCTTTACTGAATCAGCACTGTGCTGCGTCCCACAGATCGCACTATTATGTTTTTCGTTTTCTTTTTCATTCTTTTATAACCTATTTTAACTCATTTTGATTTGTTTTTATCTGTTTTTATTAATTTTTATTGTCTGCATTTTATTTTCCTAAACTTGTCTTTTTTATTCCTGTTTATGTAAAGCTCTTTGAATTGCCACTGTGTATGAAATGTGCTATATAAATAAACTTGCCTTGCCTTGCCTTACGTTTCCAGAATGAGCTTGGGTTGGAAGATCAATGCATTTTGATGTGGGGTCATATTATGTCGCTTTTATAATTGAAGTCTCAAGTTTCAGCTTGACATATCCTACAAATCATTTATTAATTATGCAATGATGACGTCAAAGTAAAATCACACTGTTTTGATGTGTGTGTCTCTTTAAATGCAAATGAGCTTCTGTTTCTCCGCCTTCTGTTCCAGAAGTGGGTGAGCCCTTTATATTTTGTGTTATATACTTGTATAAAAACATATCTGCATGCATTTTAACGGCTTGAAAAAAACTGAAAATATTTGACTTTCTAAAAACACAGATATAAAAGCACACACTCAGAGAAACCAGCTGTCAGATATCAACTCAGATACACACAAGGTATCTGTGTGTATCTTTCACTCAACATCATCAAAACCAAGGAGCTGGTGGAGGATTTCAAGGAGAGAGAAGAGAGAACACACTTCCATCACCATCAACTGGACACCAGTGGAGAGAGTCAGCACTTTCAAGTTTCTTGGAGTCCACATCGCTGAGGACTTGACATGGACTGCTCACACAGACGCAGTGCTGAGGAAGGCACAACAATGCCTCTTCTTCCTCAGGCGTCTCAGGAGGTTTGGAATGAGCCCCTACATCCTCCGCTCGATCTACACCTGCACTGTGGAGAGCATCCTGTCTGGCTGTATCACCAACTAGTATGGAAACAGCACCAGCAGCAATCGCAAAGGCCTACATAGGATTGTCCGAACTGCTAGACGCGTAGTAGGAGGTGAGCTTCCCTTCCTCTAGGACATCTACACCAGGCGGTGCATGAGGAAAGTCAAGAGAATCATCAGCGACTCCAGCCACCCAAGCTATACACTTTTCTCTCTGCTACTCTCAGGCAGACGGTTCCGCAGCAACCAATCCCGACTGAAGGAAAGCTTCTTCCCTCAGACTATCAGGCTGATGAACACTTAACACACCCCACACAGACTCTTCCATACCCCTCACTCCACACCATCAATATGTAACATGCACTGCGCTTAAACCAAGCCATACTTAAAACAATACTGCCTACAACTATGTGTACACCTATTCATTGTACATAATCGCTGTTAATTTTACATTGTCCTGTTTTTTTGAGAGTATGCTGTTGTATTTTGCACTGTCTGTATTTTGCACGATCTGGAGCCAGCACCTAAGCTTTTCACTCATCATAACACACGTGCAGCTGATGATGTGACAATAAAAGTGATTTGATTTGAGTGATTTGATTTGAGGTTGTGTCAAAAAGCAAACAACAAACACACATGGTGATGTAATATTTGTTACGGCATTGAAAATCCAAAAGTTGCATGTGTATCAGTATAATAGAGTCATGCAATAATGAAGACAACGGCTGCGTCCGAAATCGCCTACTACTCAGTAGGTACTGCATTTGAATTTAAACGTACTACTCGGCTGTTAGAAAAGTACGTTCTATACAGTATGAACGTGAAAAGTATGAATGGAATTCAGATGTACTACATCCGCCATTTTGTCATTGTCACTTGACATGCCTGTGTCAATCGCGTCGCTTTACTCCCATTCATGAATTCGCTCGCAGGGCATCATGGGATAGCGCAGCATACATGCGATGCACACTTCAGAATCTCGCCGGAAGTAGTAAGTCATCCGGGTACTTCTCGCATACTGATTTTCGAATTCAATGAATTCGGACATACTACTCGGCTCGCATACTGATTTTAGCGTCCTATATAGTATGGAAGTATGCGGTTTCGGACGCAGCCTACACTTTCCTCTAGCAGTTTATGGCTGGCAGTTATTTAAATTATGCATATTGTGACATGTCGTGTTTGTTGTTTTGCGAAACTCAAGTCAACAATGGAGGTAATGGAGTTCATTCAGAAACAAAACGAACTCCTGCTTTGTACATTGTAAGATGTTTTTCACACCCAAACAGCAACATGACACACTAAATAAAGCTAAAAGTGCATAAAGCTAAATAAAAATGCTTTAAAAGTAGTATATTTTGGAATTCACACACCTTGAGGATCCCAGAAGTATTTCAGGAGCTCGATACCATCGTGTTGCAACATACTCTGTTAATGCAGGATTCCCAGCATCCTCTTGGATTTGGTACAGAGACCTCGCTAAACCGAAATCACACAGCTTCACGAAGCAATCTGAGTCTAATAAGATGTTGGATGGCTAAAAGAACGAAAAATACATAAATAATTCAAACAAATAATTTAAGGGTTGATCTAAACACTTCTAATAAGAATGAAGAAGTGTTAAACGTTGAGTACAACGACATACCTTTTGGTCTCTGTGAATGACATTGCCTGAATGAAGATATTTTGTTGCTTTAAGAAGTTGGTACATTACATAACGCTTATGAATGTCTTTTAATAGATTTCCTTTCTTTATCACTGCATGTAGGTCTGTGTCTGAAAAGAAAAGAGTCGATAAAATGATGAAAAAGTCAACAAAATTACAATAACAACATAATTATAACTAAATTATGACGATTTATGAATGTTGCATATATGCAAATAATTAATTAATATACAATATAAGCAAAAAATACTGAAGCATAGATCACTCAAATGGTCTCTTACCCATGAATTCAAATATAAGGTAAATATCTTTGTCGTTTTGGGCTCTGATGACGTTTAGTAATTTTATTATATTAGGATGATCTCCAAACTCCTGTAAAAGGAAAAGTAGTTTGAGCATAAACTTTTTTTCTAACACTTTTATTGTAGAGCAAAGAAAATGTTTACAGTATTTCCTATTATATTTTTCTTCTGGAAAAAGTCATATATATATCTTTTTTTTTTTTTTTTGTTTGGCTGAAGAAACAAAACATTATTTTTTTTAAAACTGATAAGGTCACGATCCCCTCTTGTTTTCTCAATTGGCTACAGGGTAAACCACTGTTGTTCAATGGCTTGCCAAAATACCCTATTTAACCTAACTAAAACAATTTACAAGAATTTATTTAGACAATTTATTAATTATTATTTATTAGACAAGTCATTTTCAAAATGTTGGGAAAAAAACATAATTAAAATAAAGATAATTTTTTACAGGAGGGCTGATAATTATGCTTTCAACTAAATATGTTGGTGAATATTCTTACCTGGAGGAACATAATTTCTCTGAATGTTCTCTGTGGGAGTTAAAGAAATGAACATGCTGTAAATGTACTTTTAACACTTTTAATTTTACATTGCAACTTACAGAAGGTTTACTCATTCATACAAACAACCAGGGGTGTGTTTCCCAAAACCTTCATTAGCTAACTAAGGTCGCAAGTTTCGTTGTTACAAACATAGTTTGTTGATTTGCCATTTCCCAAATCCGTCGCTCTAACGAACATTCGCAAACTGCGTCACAAACTTGAGCACTCGCAACTACACCTCTGTAGCTGTAGTTAAAAACATAGTTCGTGACTGTGTTCTATTCCCACTTTTCCCCCCTATGCCCTATTCATTTAGAACATTCTAACATTCAAAGTTGGTATTATTAAAAATAAAAAAGCATTAAAGTCGTCTCTCTTAGGTGTAGTTTGCTTTCAAACTATTTTTACAGTTCAGTTTTAGCGATCTTCATGTTTACATTTGTGCTCCCTTTGCAGTGCACTTTGAAAACATTGATGTCATTTTGAACACAGCTTCATGACGAAAGCTGTAGGTGACCTATAATTTAAAAGCAGAATTTATGTTACGTTTCCAAAGCTTATCTGTACTGTAAATGACATGGGCTTGCTGATTAGAGCTTTCTGCAGTGGTTTACATGTGTTAAATTGTAAAAGAAAACGTTAAAAAAAATATATATATAAATAAATAAACAATATCCTACTTAAAATAATAATAAAATAATAAAAGAAGACTTTTAAAAAATAAATAAATAAATAAACAATATCCTACTTAAAAAATGATAAAATAATAAAAGAAGACTTTTGAAAATAAAATAATAAACAATATCCTACTTAAAAAAAAATAATAATAAATATCATCATCATCATCATTAATATTATTAAAGTATGATTTTATTTCATTTCTAATATATAATAAACATTACATTTCATTTTACAATAAATAGCCTCATTATTTCTCTATATATATTGTTACATATTTTGTTAGATATATTATTATATATTTATTTATATATATGATTTAAAGGATATTAGAAAACGTGTTAGCTTTTGTAATTGATTTTATGTTTTAGAATAGAATATGTAATGTTCAACTTCTCAATAATATTAGTAAAGCAAACACAGGCCCTATATGTGCCGTTTACTTATATTTCAGTTAATATGGGAAGCGAGTGCATGTTTTTACCAAATCTAATATTGGATTTCATTTTAAATTAGTGTGAGTGTAAAACAATATAATTTGCACAAAGAAATGATTGGGTTTTCTCTAAAAGAAGTGGTTCCTCCACCCCATTTAGAGTATCATTATAGGCGCTTTACGTTATAACTAACGTGGTTCAAGTGATGGACCTGCAACAAAGAAACTAAGGGTTTTGGGAAACACTCAGAGCTACATATTTCTTTTCATAGTTCATAGTTCACCCGGAGGAAATCCACACGAATGCAGGGAGAACATGCAAACTCCACACAGAAACGCCAACTGAGCCGAGGTTCGAACCAGCGAACAAGCGACCTTCTTGCTGTGAGGCGACAGCACTACCTACGTCGCCACTGCGTCGCCCCATTTTAATTATTGATATTATTATTTAAGATACAGATCTGAAAAAAGTATTTCTCAATATTAAAGGACTGACCCCTATACATCTGGTTTTCACATCCTTCAGGGGTAATCAAATGTTAATTAGGGGGATCAGTCCTCCCTAACCCCCCTGTAACTAGCACCCTGAAATCAACAGTACTCTTGCAGGATATCCTGTCAAAGTCTCCAACCTGAGCGTCTGTTCTGTTCCTAAAGGCATCAAAGATTTTCTTCACAGCGACAGTCTCTCCACTTTTTCTGTCCACGGCCTTCCAGACAATTCCATACGCCTGCGAGAAATGAAAAACAGTACACAGTAATGACATTTTTGATTTTAAAAACAGACCATGCGTAACTAAATGGCTCATTATCTAGGCTGGGTTGCCAAGAAACCCTCATTTAAGTCATCTGTGCTGACTGCAGTTCATTTATTTAGTGTATAGACAGGGTTTTATGAGATCTACGAGGTTTACAGACTGCTATTATTAGATCTAACAGTGGCCTTCATTTGTACACATATCTTTTCATATTTTATAGATTTCATTTTTACCCAGAGTCTCTTATTTGAGCTATATTTACAAAGGGAAATGTGTTAAAAAGGAACTATTTAAAGTGCATAAATAAAGGGTTTTTTTCAAGCGTAAAACCAGTGCAAAACAATGAAGAGAAACAACAAAACATGACTGCTGTGTGTGTCTTAGAGGGGATTTCATACAAATTATTCCCAAGATTTTATATAGATTAGACTGACGGTTTATTCTTGACCGCTGTACACACTCATAATGCTTTCAGGCCAGCTTTGACCCAGAGAAGACGCAATAACATTTCAACTTTGAAAACAAATGTTCGAAATAATTATTTATAAATAGATATAACACACATTACATGTTTCATTTTAGATCTGGGTCTGTCTGGAACTAATATTTTACTATAGTAATACTACTAATTGAGTAATAGAAATAAACGTAACAGTACTAATGTTCTATAAAGTGAGTGTCGAATATATTTAGCCTTTGCAACATCAAACATGTTTATATGTAAACTTCCATCACTTTTTAATCTGTAAGTGATAGTGTAAGCAAATAAAATGTCATTATTTTGATGTTTATTATATTTGATGTTGTTTTGTTAGAAATAAATGTGAAGGTTTCATAAATTAGACTGTTCCCGAGCCATCATGAGTCATGAATAATTCAGATAGGGTTTGTAGCAGGTAATTCTCATGTTCTTACAGACTAATAGTAAAGTAAATAATGGCAATACATGGTAAATGGCAAACGTTTAACTAAATAGCGAAAAGTTTCTAATAACATAAACTTACAACGAGTTTAGCAGGAAAATATTAAGCTAAACTTGTTTTCAAATTATTATGAAGGTTTAAATACATTTATACTGTTTATACATCGGATTAAAACACATTATTTATACATAATAAAAAACAGCATGTGCGTTAGAAGATAACTTACCCCTTTCCCCAGCCTTCTCTTGATTTCATACTTCGAGCTAATGTGTTCTTCCACTTCTGTGATGTTCATTCCCGCTTTTTTACCTGTTTTACCACTTAATATTAACCTGAATGAGATTAACCATGGCAGGAATAAAGTGAAAACAGCTTTTAATGCATAAAAAATCTAACAACGAGACATCACGATGCCGATTAACCACCTATGAGTGAACTTATGAGTAATTCTCTGAGGTAAATACCAATTTATCGCGCGCTAATCTTAATCACTATTTGCCGTCTAAACATTTAAAACGGAGTTACATAAATTTTAAAGCCGACTTGATGTAAATAACATCCAGTTTTTGTGTCGTTTGGAGTTCACTGTTGTCATTTGCTGCCCGTGGCCTGCTCAAAGTTACGCATCGCTTGGTTTTGTCATTGTTCGTCGTCATGGAGACGTAGATACACAGATGAGGCAAACTCTTAAAGGAGCCGCAGCTTCCAAAACGTGAGAGCACATTAGCATATTTTGGAAATATTGGTTTACGTAAAATACTGTATCAAATTATAACATTTAAGCCTTGTGTATTGTTCAACTTATCTACACTTACATTATAACATCATTCATTGATTGCTAAGCCATGAGAGCACTCACCGGCCACTTTATTAGGTACACATTACTACGGTGTTGGACCCTATTTTGCCTTCAGAACTGCCTTAATCCTTCGTGGCGTAGATTCAAGATGTTACTGGAAATATTCCTCAGAGATTTTGCTCCATATTGACATGATAGCATCACGCAGTTGCTGCAGATTTGTCGGCTGCACATCCATGATGCCAATCTCCCGTTCCCCCACATCCCAAAGCTGCTCTATTGGGTTGAGTTCTGGTGACTGTGGAGGCCATTTGAGTACAGTGAATTCATTGTCATGTTCAAGAAACCAGTCTGAGATGATTCCCGCTTTATGACATGGTGCGTTATCCAGAAGATGGGTACACTGTGGTCATAAAGGGATGGACATGGTCAGCAGCAATACTCAGGTAGGCTGTGGCGTTGACACGATGCCCAATTGGTACTAATGAGCCCAAAGTGTGCCCAGAAAATCTCCCCCACAGCATTAAACCACCACCACCAGCCTGAACCGCTGATATAAGGCAGGATGGATCCATGCTTTCATGTTGTTGACGTGTTCAGAGATGCTCTTCTGCAGACCTCGGTTGTAACGAGTGCTTATTTGAGTTACTGTTGCCTTTCTATCAACTGGAACCAGTCTGGCCATTCTCCTCTGACATCATCAAGGCATTTGCGCCCACAGAACTGCCGCTCACTGGATATTTCCTCTTTGTTGGACCATTCTCTGTAAACCCTAGAGATGGTTGTACGTGAAAATCCCAGTAGATCAGCAGTTTCTGAAATACTCTGACCAGCCCGTCTGGCACCAACAACCATTCAAAGTCACCTAAATCCCCTTTCTTCCCTATTCTGATGCTTGCTTTGAACTGCAGCAGATCATCTTGTCCATACATGTCTTATAAGTTGCTACACTGTGATTGGCTGATTAGAAATGTGCAATTACAAGCAGTTGGACAGGTGTACCCAATAAAGTGGCCAGTAAGCATAATCCATGCATGCATGATTATCGGTGGCTTTCCCTGTTGGGATTAAAAGGTGTAATTTTTACTGCCAATCATCAGTTGTTAGCATTAACCCCTTAGTAAATGGAGTTCAGTGGAGTAAAACAGCAGGTTATAATGTGTGTGCAGAAATACACTTACTATATTTACCGTGTTCTGAGAGCCGAGCTGCTTATTATTTATTTCCTAAAACATTTTAGCGTGCAAAGGTCTCTCCTCACATACAGACATAACAAAATGACAGTAGTGACATATTACTGCATGCTGTAAGCGGGTAGACATTATTATTTCAATATAATTATTTCAATTTTGAACGATTCCACACAAATCACATACAGTAGGACAAATTAGGTTTGAAAGCCATGTAGTTTATTTCAAAACTATTTTATTTACAATGGTAATTTAATAAATATGACTTATTACATACCGAAGAGAGACAGACCAACACCGTGCCAAGAAAAAGAGTACAGTTCTCAATCAAGATCTGATATAAAAGTCAAGGTTATCAACCAGCAAATGTTAAAGTACTTTAAATGCACAATTAAATACGGTGGGAAATAATATTTTAACAAAAAAGAAAGTCTGAAGCCGACCAAAATGGGTTTATATGCTTAAAATAAAAGGACACACTTTACAATAAGGCTCCATTAGTTAATGTATTTACAAACATGAACAAATCAGCATGTATTAATCATAGTTTAACACTTACTAATGCATTAATAAAATCCAAAACTGTGCATGAACAACTGTAGTTTTACTAATGTGAATAAGACGAGCACACACTGTTATAAATTGTTCATTGTTTGTCAGTAAATACATCAATTAACTGAACTATACTGTAGTGTATTGCCAAATAAAATCCAGTAGTGACAACTCCTAATCAATCCTTGCTGTATTATATATATCAGGTGATCCATAAAGTATGTTCATTTAACATCTTTCTATAATACACTGATCCTTATAAAGCCCACCCTGAACTAAATGCATATGCCTACTGGTTACGTCAGTCTATTGTGACAGAAATAAAGGAGAAAACAAGTGTCAGAGTGATACAATCCTTACTGAATATTAGAAGCTTTAGTAAACAGTACATTAATTGGGATTTCTATATAACAGATCAATGTTTCCGAAACAAGGGCAACATGTTAAAAGCTGGTGAAAAGGAGCTCTGAAAGGGTCGGAGCGTTTAGGAGGAGTGTAGGAAACGATTGAAGGCGTTGTATGCAGACTCCAGATCGAAGAGCATCTGGCGAACCTGAGAGTCGTCCAGCTCATCAGACGCAGACATGCTGCTCAGTGTGGTCAACCTGTGGAAAACGACAACAAAAACAGAGGGAGGAGATTTTAAAGAGCCCCTAATGTGGGTTTTTGAAAATGAGCTTCCATGTAGTGTGTAACACAGATCTAAGTGAAGTGAAATATCCAGCTAGGGCTTAAATCTGAAAGTGAACAGTGTTTAAAGGACCATGAAACCCCCTCGTTTCAGCAGAGTGTTTTCACACCTCTACTTTGGAAAAAGTCAGAAAAGTGGGCGTGTCCAGCTCTGTTTAGGGGGGAGTGTCGGAGGAAGAAAAGAGGCTTGGTGTGGGAGTGTCTAATTGGGCGCGCTGAATTTCAGAGTCAAAACACACACACAGGAGAAAGTGATGGTGTTTACATGGACATCTGTAGTCGAATTATTTGCCAAATTATTAAATGGTGGACTTTAACTGCAGTTTGGCTCTTTCATTCAGGGAATTCATTCATGCCCCTCGCCACAAACGAGATATTTGATTCGAGGCGCTGCTCTAAGCGTGTATTTTTCATGCAATGTTTGATACCGCACGGCGAATGAGAGAAAAAAAAAACCTCAGCATTTCCCGGAAACTTAGATGCACACGGCAGGTAGCGTCAGAAAGCCGCGTGTGTTATTCCGGTCACAAAATCCTACATGAGGTTATAGTTTGGTTGTGGTGCTAACTTGTTTACACTCGGTGCAATAGTTTGTTCGATACGAATAAAATACGAACTGAATAAACAAAGAGCACTGGCCGCCCACTTACCAAATCTGTAGAGACAGGACAATCACCAGCAACTAGAGCCGCGAGAATGAGGGTACAGAAGAAGACGTTATAGTAACTTTAAATGATGAGAAGCTAGCATTAACCAGGCGGAGGAGGCTAACGGCAGTGCAGCGCAGACTGGATTCATCGTGTGAGAGACAGACAGAAAAGGAGAGAGAGAGAGAGAGAGAGAGAAAGGCCCAGAAAAGGAGAGAGACGGGAGAGAAGAGGTGTAGTGTGTGTGATTTCAGATACTTTTAGGTTTATAATCAAGTCTTCATCACAAGAAGAGTAGAGAAAAAACAGGGAGAGGAGGAGAGAGACAGTAAATCAGTGTTTGTATTATGAAAGACTCAGAGAGAGATTTATAGTTTTATTAGTATTTTTATTCAATGCTTTGAAAAATAAGTTAAATCTTTGTAGACTATAAATACATATGTACTATATATCATTTATTTAAATATGTGGGCAACAAATTATAGATTCATTTTATTTAAAAATTATTGTATTATTCTTATTTTTTAAATTCAACTATAGGGATGCGGCCAGGTAGGGGGCCTAACAAGACAATGTGCCCAGGGGCCCCTGAGTTCTTAATTCGGCCCTGCGTGTTGGTGACGTATCTAATACTGTTTCCGGGTCCAAGCCGCCACTCATTTGAGTTGAGAAATCATTCGTTTATGATCACTTTTTATTCATATCACACATTAAAGATAATTTTGCATAAAGTCATAGTGGACACAACACTCTCTGGGCTTGCTGCATCACAAATACCAACATTTTAACAATTTCTAAATCAATGAATCACTCTCTGGCCATTGGATATTAGGCATGGACATATATATTGTGATCGTGATTTTCAAAGTATTAAATAGATTTGTAAACGTTTATTATTACCATTTCACGAGTCTCCCCATACAGTTGAATGGAGCGCTTGCACCCGGAAGCCGCTTCGCGTGACGTCACACTTAACAAGCGGATATCATCTAAATGTGTATTGTCACCGTTTTTAATAGAACACTAACATCCTTAAGACTAACATGATGACGCTAACCTCTAAAATACTTTATTTTCACTTCATGGTTTTCGCTACATTCATTCTTCCGTGGCGCCACACCATAATTCATCCCGCCACGGCTACATTACAGCTTCTTACTCAAAATATTTGGTCGTTTTTTAAATAGCGGGTTAAAAAATAAAAAATAAAGAAAATAAAAATAAAAATCGCACCGAAAACGTATGAAAGGGTAAGTGAATAATAACAGCGCAAACTTTTCTGTGACTGTAGTAGTGCTGTGCGTTCTGTTTAACCCTTTAAGGTGACGTGCAGACTGACTGACTGACAGGTGCGTGAGACCAGCAAACATGGCGAAGTTTGCAGTAATGATGAACACAGTTTCCATAATTATACTTTATTTATAGATAAAGGTCTGTGGCTCTGCATATAAAGACTTTATCTTGCTGGAGTTTATAGCCGTTTCACTTTACTTCATGACGCATTAATGTTGCGGTTCGCTCTGCAAGTCTATCAGAGACATTCATAAATATTCCCAGCAAATCTAATAAATGTTGGAGACATACTCGATACATAAACGCACTAAATCACACTTCAGCCGCATTTATTTGAGGGAGCGCAACAAATTCTGCACTTGAGCAGCGTATATTTGAGGGTGCGCAAGAAGTTTTGTGCACGAACATAGGAAATCGGCGCTCAAGCAGAGATTGACATGCTCGTAGGCTTTTACATGAATGCGATCTCGACTTAATACTGCGCCCATGACATTTGTCAATGAAATAACGCCACATGTAGAGGTAGATCTGTGTAAAATGCCCAACAGAGTCTGCCACCACAGCTGTAAAATATCCTAGAGGAAACACTGCACTTCATGGGACCTTTAGGGATATCTACAAGCTTGACAGATTGTCAAATTTCTAAAAAAAAAAAAAAAAGAAGTAGAAGAAAGAAAAAAAAACGAGCATTGCAAATTTTTCTTTTTTTTAAAGGGACCTTAAAAGAGCATTGACAGTGAAGACACTGTGTTAAATGCTTAGTTTTACACATGATATAAACAAAACTATTTGCCCAAAATTGAACATGATACAATAATTTACTCGCATCATAACATTGTTATTTTATTACAATCTAAAAGTATAAATCTAATGCATTACAAGCTAAATGTTCAGCATCATTTCTCATCTTCAAGACTGTTTGCATGGATAGTGTTAAAATTAAAAATGCCCAAAATCACTGCACCAATGGCTCTCAACTGGTTTGGCCAGGGGACCCACATTTTTAGGAACTGTAATATAATTTTATAATATAATTATAATATTTATTTTAATTCATTAGTATTTGTTTATTAACATACACAAGCAGTGACAGAAAATCACAAAGACTTAAAAATAAACACTTTATCACTGTCATTTAACAAAATGTATCAAATTATAGTAATATTACAGAGTAAAAACATCAAATACTGTAAACAGTGGTCAGTTACCTTTAACTAAACTGCTAATAAAACGTTAACACTGATCCAGTTGTACAGAACAAACCAGCAAATTAAAGTGATTAAAATAATCATAACCATGTTTATAATAATCACCAGTTATTTGCTCTTCTGCTATTGTGTGGGCTTTCTTGGCCTTTGCTACTCGGTGAGCACAGTAGGATGCGCAGAGTGCCTGTACTTGAACATGAAGATGTTCAACACTTTTGTGAGCTTTGCCCTCAGCTATTGGAGTCGTCTTTGAAAACAGTCCACAGGTTTGAGCACCTCACTACACATCACACACTGAGGTTTCAAGCCTTTTTGTCATCAATATATGTAAATCCACACTTTGCATATTCGGGGTCGTACTTGCGTTTTAACTTATTTGTTGCTCTAATTAAATGAAGTTTTCGTGCACTTCAAACTAAAAGTCTGATATATGCAAAATAAGTAAAAAAAAATAAATAAATAAAATTTACTTTTGCTGTTTATTTGACCACACACTCCGCGACCCACTGAAAATGTTCCCCCACCAGCTGAGAAACACTGCACTATACTGTAACCTGTAAAACGTGTACTGTATGTGACAGACAGAATCTGCGGACATTTTTTTTTTTGCTATTTCTGCACAGAATTGTGTAAAAAAATCTGCAGATTTATGTGGAATAATTTTGGTAGTATCATAACTAAAACTTAATATATAAAAAAATATTACCTTTAACATTTTTATTTAATGTTTACAATGCCAATCCAATTAGATCCACTTATTTGGTAAACAATGCAAATCTCCTCGAATAATATCTCTACTAAAAGACAGAAAATATGACTGCACAAACTGTATTGTAAGCAAATCAAATGAACATTTTCATATTAGTCAATAGTATCACTGAAATTCATTTCAAAACTGAATTAATATAAAGTTAAACACATTTACAGAAGTAAATAAATAGACTCAATGATGGGCTAAAAAACTGCTGATTTCTGCACGCGCAGATTGAGTGTGGGCCTAACCACAACCTATGAAATGGGAAGATGAAAGGAACATTCTAAAAGCATGTACATTATAGTGCATTTTAAGATTACTGATGTTCGTGGAAACGTAGTCACTAGCTAAGTTTCCATCCAAAAATGCGAATGAACTTAATGCGCAAAACTGGATGATCGCATACAAGTTGTGTGAATAAAGCAGCGTTTCCATCCAATGAGTTAAAGCGAACAAAATCGTTACTTCCTGATTAACTGGCGCCAAATATCAACAGTAAAAACAGAATTTGCTGCAGTAGCAGAAGCTGCATCAATCTTGTCTCTATCTATTAAATGACTTGCGCCTCAGAAGACAATCCTGACATGCAGTGAGCGCGCAGTGGCGTTTGAAGGTGTCAGACGCGAAGCACATTTATCATTTATAATATAATAACACTAATACTTAAACGGTAAGGCTTTTATAATGACCAAAACAACATTTCAGATGTTTTATAATGTGCTCAGCCTGACGTTTTGTCTATTCACACACATTTAAGCATCACATGACCTCTTTTAACAAAATCACATGACCTTTTTTAATGCGCATGCTGGAGTTTGTGCGGTAAAAGTGTTTCCATTGTATTTTATGCGCATCTTTTCTTGTCGAATAAAAAGTTTATCCAACCCAGTTATGCATACAAGTTATGCGTATTTTCAAAATTTATGCGCATCATGGCGTTTCCATCAACCATGTTTTTCTTTATGCACATTTGCAAAATGCGCATAAAAATAGGTGAATGGAAACATACTGATCTGCTAAATGAGTAAATGTTAAATGTCAATGGAAAAAAAAAGCATCCTTACCAGAGGCTGACTTTGTCTTTGGCCTCTGAATCTGGAGGCATGTTGCTCATCCTGTTCATGGTCTCCATCAGCTCTCTCAGGTCAGGCTGGATCTATTAAACACAATTCACAATCACTTATTCAACACATGAAATCAGCGTCTGTTTTATTACAAAGCAAGTAATACACTAAATGTACTGACACAGTATCAATTTCAATTTACTACAACTACGTTAAGCTGCTTTGACACAATCTACATTGTAAAAGCGCTAAAGAAATAAAGATAAATTGAAGTAATATGGTATTATAAAGCATTATAAAGCGATGTGTTGAATCTCCTACAACAGGTTTAAAGGCATGATTGGTCAGCAAACATTTTCTCAGAAATTTCAATTAGAATAATTCTGCAATCACATCAGTATGGCTTGTTTGAATCAGGTCAGCGCCTCCTTCCATAAGCCAGCTCTGCTCTGATTGGTCAACAAGATTGGAGTTTCCATATCTATTCTGTGTCTAAAATTAAAACCCCAACTGCGAGCGCTTATATGTCACGGGAGGCGGGATTATGCAAATGAGCTATTTTGATCATGTTGATGTCGATCAGGAAAAAGATTCGAAAACAGAACTCGTTAATGTGATTCAGAGGCAGCTCTTTCTTTTGAGAAACGATCTTTATTTATCATGCACTTGTTTGATGAACAACTTTGCAGACTGTTTGCTTGCATTGAAGCACAGATACTTCACAAACGTCAAATAACATATTTAAACAAACAAACAAACATATGATCTGGTGTCCGTTCTTCGTACGTGGATTACTCGGTTAGCTGGATTTGGTTATTACTGATTTGACACGATCCAGGATCGTTTCCTTCTTCAAAACTGATCCGAGAGTTGTTGTCATAGCAACAGTTCTGGTAGCTCAAACCTGGTCGGGAGCAGGCTCATTTCATATAAACAGGATTAGATCAAGTCAGTTCAGGCAAAGAAAATACTGAAAATATTTACCGAATTATGATATTTTCTTACAGTAGGAGTTATATACTAGAGAAAATAGTAAATATTTTTTAACTATATATATATATATATATATATATATATATATATATATATATATATATATATATATATATATATATATATATATATATATATATATATATATATATATATATATATATATATATATATATATATATATATGGGTCTATTCTGCTGTGGTCAGATGTTCCTACTCTGCTCTGATTGGTCAGATGTTCCTACTTTCCTCTAAATGGTCAGATATTTTTACTCTGCTCTGATTGGTCAGATGGCCCTAATCTGCTCTGATTGCTCAGATGTTCTGCCTCTTCTCTGATTGGTCAGATGTTTCTACACTGCTCAGATTGTGACTTCTTACAGTTTTTATTGGAAACCAAAATTCAATGCAACCTCCACGAGTCCTCAGCTACATCTACAGTGTTTGAGAGTGTTCTCACATAATCATCTTCTCCCTCGGGAACCAGGATGTTCATCTCGGAGCTCTTGGCACTGACGATCTCACAGTCTAGTGAATCCTTGCTCAGGTAGACATGGCAGCCCTCGGTCTTGTTTATGGAGATAGTCGGAACTTTTCCCATCACCTGAGAGGCCAGAAAATAAGGTTTATGACATGTTAAACAGCAATATATAGCACTACCTACTGTGCCACTGCGTCGCCCATATATAACTATATACATTAGAATATATTAACAAGTATATATATATATATTCTCTTTCTGTTCGCCATGCGGTATCAACTTACAACAGAAGTCGAAAGTTAAAAATGAAACACCCGAAATTGCATGAAACTCTGGAGAGCCTCTGTGTTCCTTTAAGGTAATAAAATCACTGCTTAGGCTACACGGTAGACTTTTAATAAGAGTATAATCTTAATCATATTTAAATCGGAGTATTGGTGTCTTATGTAAATGTACTCAGAACGTCTGGTGAAGTCGCGAGCTGTCAAAGACAGGGCATTACTCTGCCTTTCAGCATGAGCCCTCCAAGTTTACCGTGTTTCCTCATTAAACGCAGTGAAAGCGTATGCTTCGCGTTGTTGTGTCAGAATCCTTGTGAAATGCAGTAATACTTTAGGACGCTTAGTTGAAGCAAATTTGATGAACGTGATCATGCGTGTTGAATCTGAGGGGAGTCGCTCCAGTATGGAAGGCCGTTGGGGCCAAAACGTCTGCAGCGCGTTGTGTGTGTCTGTCTGTGTCAGGTCCGTTGAGGGGTGTCAGGGGTGGAGTGAGCGACGTATCTGAGTAGGGGTGTGTAATGTATTTAACGACCGGTTTGCAAGAAATTATCATTCATTTGCGGGCATTTGGGAGTCTCTGTGCACTTGCGGGATACTCCTAGTCTTAGCAACTGGATGAATGTAAAGGAGGATTAATCAAAATTGTTTCTACTCTATAATTAATGTTCTCAACTCACAGCAATAAAACTTTACAATGAGTGCAACAGTTTGTATTCTATAGTTTATTATTATAATTTTTCATTTTCCATATCTGCAATTCCTGTATTTTGGCATTTTTTTGCAGTCCACTTAGAATCCAACATGGAAATCAATGTTTTCTTTATTGGCATTGATTGTTTTGAAATTTAAATGTCATTAACATGCCTGTGTTTTAATTTCTGTAATAAATATGGCTGTCAAGCCAGGATCTTGATGGTTTATTGTGGGTATGTTGTTTACAGAAGAAATCTGTGTTACAAGTTAAACAAAAATTCTATTAAACAATTATATTTTGAATTTAAATATTTTTTTCTTGCGTTTACATTAATTTTACATTTTAAATAGCCAAAATTACAAGTTTCAGTATTTTAATTGCGATTAATCGTGATTAATTAGTAAATTTTTTAAATCGATTGACAGCACTAATATATATATATATATATATTATATAAATATTATAGTTAAAAATATTTATATTAATAAAACTTAGGTAATCTGCACCCCCGAAATGAAAGTATAAAGACTGCCACCTGGTGGTACAAAGAGAAAACTTATTGATATCAACTTTTTAGATCGCTTTATAGAAATGCACAATATGTGCCTTTTTTTAAAAGCAATAATACATTTATGCAGTCATAAACATGTTTTGACAGCTAATATGACGATAATTTCACAAAAGTTGCAGACGCCTTTACCAATATCAAAATTCTTTTGTAAACATCCAGTTATTCTTTACACCGATTAAAAAACGGCTACTATAATAATACTATGGCTACTATAATAAGGAAAATCCGCTCTAGCTGTAAAACTAAATCAATTGCTCTTGACGCATGAAAGGGCCAAGCATGCCGCCCACAACAAGGTGTAAAGGTAATGTGTATCATAATTAACAAACCGTTACTGCTAATTTGATGTAATTTAGCTCACACGGATAATTGAATATTAATCAGATGATGTCATTACGCTGCTGTGCCGTCAACCAATCGTTGCATTGCTGATCATGATTTCGGGAGTCGATAGATCTGTCCTTTACAACACACGCTGCGATCACAGATCAGTTCATCCAGACATTCTAATCTAATTCACAAACTTGTTTGAAGAACCAAATTAGCGAGAGATCAGTTATCAAAATGAACAGATCCAGGATCTGCCAAATCATCTTATATCATTTAAGCGAGCTACGAAGAACAGACCCCTGCTCTTTAACTGAATTAATGAATGCACTGTGCATACCTCATCCATGGCACGAATTTCAAGTCGAAGTTTGTCCATTACTGTGATAAAAAGCTGCACAGAAAAAAAAAACAAAGTTACTAAGTGCTGCCCCATTAATACGCCAACACACACATGATGATACAAACTTCTTAAACATCTAGACTGGCTTAAGGATACATCAATCTTCACAGCCAGATTTTTTTTATGCAGCATGTGAATGCATTAACCTGCTTTGTGATGAGTTACTAAGGTGTACATGTGTGATGGGTGACAGAAGTTTAAAAAAGCTAAAGTTTAGCAGTAAAGGAGAATGAAGTACTTAAACACTGTCTTGACCTTAAGCTTTATTAAAATGTGTTCTCATGTCATGCAGTTTCAGTAGAAATGCTAGAATGAAAATGCGCCATGATAAATGTTTAACAAACACAGATAGCAGGTTGTCATGCTCACATATTCAGTTTTTAAATATTTATTTAATATAAAAACAAACATATATTAAACACTTACTAGGTGTGCATATAATTAAAGGGTTTCTGCAGGTTTCAGGTCAAATTTAAGACCTTTTTAGGACCATTATGACTTAAATTTTAGACTTTTGTCTTGCACATTTTTTTTTTTCTAATGGAAAAGATTTTTTACTTGTCCCATTTATTAATTTGTGGTATTTTATTCGCCACATTTTTCAAATAGTGTCAAAACAAGCTCCAGTTATATACATACATCTTTTTCAGCATAATTCATTCATGCATTCATTCTCCTTTGGCTTAGTCTCTATTTCAGAGTTCACCACAGCGGAATGAACCACCAACTTTTCAAAACATATGTACTGTAGAAAGTACTGGGAAACAACACTTATTCACGCACACACTCATACACTACGGCCAATTTAGTTTATTCAATTCCCCTATAGCGCATGTGTTTGGACTGAGGGGGAAACCCATGCCAACACAGGCAGAACATGCAAACTCCACACAGACATGCCAACTAGCCCAGCCGGGACTCAAACCAGCAGACTTCTTGCTGTGATCTGACAGTGCTAACCACTGAGCCACCCCTTTTTCAGCATAAATGTCCTTACAACTATTAAAAACAATAATAAACTAAACGTATGCACAAAAGCCTGTGCAGGTCAGCGTCCTCACTACACAGCAAGAAATACATGGAGAACTTGTAAACAATCACTTTTGTAAGGATGCAAGTAAGAATTAAACCAAATTGGTAAATAGAGTCAACTTTTATTAAAAGATATATTGAAATGTATTGATGGCGATTGTATTGAGCCCAGTTTGGTATGTTCCATGGACATAGAAAAATTAAGACCAGATTAAAATGATTTAAAGCCTAAAACACAATATATCTCAGTGACTTTAAGACATCATGGACACCCTGTTTTGTGTTTTGATGTCTCTACTGGGGAAAAAAACTGGATTACTTGCATTATAATTTATTAAAGCTGATTTTTGTGCCTTTATATAAACACATCTGGTTATTATCAATGCTAAGTATTTATTTTAGCGGGTGCTCCAGCATGACAAAGTACACATGCCATTATTTCTCCTAGTCTGATTGGAGAAATCTGCTTAATGGAAGAGCTGGAGCAAAAAGGTCTCATCTGTGCTCGATCAATAAACTGAGGGCTGCTCTGGCATTAATGCTATTCATTCTAGGCTACACGAAAGCACTGCATTAGGAGTTTGAGATACGTACTGAAACGATGTCTGCAATGCAGCGATTCAGGTTGCCCTTGTCATCCTTAATGGTGATCGGTCGGTCCTCTTTGATTCGCTCCATGGCCAGCGGACAGTCCAGCTAAATATTAAACAGCAGAAGCAAATGAACATACATATGCATGTTTACAAAAAAATCAGGTAACACTTTAGTTTAGGTCACAACTCATACTATTAACTACTGGCTTATTACCTGCCTATTATTAAGATATTAGCTGTCCATTAGTAGTTATAAAGTATGATCTAATTCTACATCCCTAATCCTACCTAAAGCCTTAAACTACTACTTTACTAACTATTGATAAACTGTTAATTAGTAGTTTATTGAGCTTGCAGCATTAGTTAATGGTTTGTAATACGGTAAATAAAACAGTTTTAATATAAACTGCATAACTTTCAAACATAATTTGGCCATCTGTATGTGATTTATAGTTAAGTTTTATTTTTAATAACTCAATATTTAAATGATAATGTCTAGGATCAATGCTATTTTGCTGTTTGCTTCAAAATTAAAAATCCAAAAAAAGTGATTTTATTTATTTATAAAGCATATTAAAGCAAGTAAATCATATACTTTAATGTTTCAAATAACTTATTCATGCAAAAAATGTCATATAAAGTACTTTGCAACACTTTACAATGAGGTTGTATTAGTTAATGCATTTACTAACATGAACAAACAATGAACAATGCCTTTATTACAGTATTTGTTCCTGTTAGTTAACTTTAGTTATTGACAATACATTAATGTTAACAAGCATGCATTTGGATGTAGGATAATGCATTATTATCATTAATAAATACTGTACAAGAAATGTTGATAATTAGTTAATGTTAGTGAATACATTAACTAATGAAAATTATTGTAAAGTGTGACCATTTACTCTTACTAATGCAAAAAGAATGAGTGATCATACTACGTTAAGACGTTTACTAAGTACTAAGTTTATAAATGGGCAAAACTTATTTATTTGCATGATTATAATGACAATTAATGATGACAAATGGCTAATTAGGTGTTTTTGGGCCAATCTTTGATCTTTCAAAATAGTCTTTTATGGCATTTAAGCAACACATTCTGATGTACAGAAAAAATTAATCTGTTTTACAGCAACATTTAACTATTTTGATTAGTTTGATCCTTGAAAACATTTTTTCACAAAACAATTTTATGTAATATACTAAACTAGTTAAGAGAAGCATGTTTAGAGTTACGCATCAGTAAATAGTTATACCCTGTATTTCCGACAAAAGTCGTCGATGGAGCCCACATCTGACCCCTGGACTTGTTTGAAAGCAGCCTTATACTGGACAAGCAATCTGGAGCATGCTCCTGTGTACCTGCAAAAACAACGCAAATATTATTTATTATCATATCAATAATGGGAAGCACGGTGGCTCAGTGGTTAGCACTGTGACATTTGTTTATATATATATATATATATATATATATATATATATGTGTGTGTGTGTGTATATATGTATATGTGTATGTATATATATATATATATATATATTCACACTCACACAGTTGAAGTCAGAATTATTATCCCCCTTTAAATATTTACTTTTTTTATATATTTCCCAAATGATGTTTAACAGAGCAAGGGAATTTTCACAGTATGTCTGATAATATTTTTTCTTCTAGAGAAAGTCTTATTTATTTAATTTTGTCTAGAATAAAACGCGTTATTAATTTTTTAAACACTATTTTAAGGTCAAAATTATTAGCCCCTTTAAGCTAAAATATTTCTTGATAGTCTACAGAACAAACTATTATGATAAGAAATGTGTTAAAAAGATCTTCTCTTCGTTAAACAGAAATTGGGGAAAAAAATAAACAGGGGGGGCTAATAATTCTGACCTCAACTGTATGTATGTATGTGTGTGTGTGTGTGTGTGTGTGTGTATATATATATATATTTATATATAACAGTTAACCTGCAGTTATATAGTAAAATAGGAATAGTGTCATTAAAAACATAAAAAAAAAAAAGTTATGTGTATATGTTCAATGAAGTGTATTATGACTATAAAGCACAGCAAAACTCACTAGCAAACAAAGCAGCTTTATGCCGGTTTATATAAACAGCCGTCTTAAAATATCCATTAAATAAAGTTGAACTCACTCATTTGGAGTCACGCAGTCTTTAATGTAGGCCTTTTCCAGGGCCTGGAGTGTTTTGACAACAGCAAACAGCTCTGCCATGTTGTCATACCTTTCAAAGCGAAGTAAAAAAGAAAAACATTAAAAGCAACCAAACCACGCTTTAACATTCAACATATCTTCATTTTGGGTCACACTTTACAATAGGGATTCATTAGTTAATGTGTTTACTTATATGAACTGTTTAATTAAAATCCAAATTCCTGTTTGTTAACATCAGTTAATGTACAGCGAATTAAAATAAACTAACAATGAACATCTTCATTTTCATTTACAAGCAAAGCTGAATAAACACTAATGAATGTATTACTCATTGTTTGTTCATGTCAGTAAATGCATGAACTGACAGTATCTCATACTAACTTATTAAAGTGTAAAGTGTTACCCATGAAAATATAGCAATGAGAAGGAAGCTCAAATTCGCAAACTAAATTAAACTCACTTTTCCCTTTCTCTGGCATTTTTGTACAACTTCACTTCCTGTAACAGAGAAAGTAAAATCACTTTAAGAAAAATAATAAAATAATAACAACTAGGGGTTCAACGGATCACGATTGATCTGTGATTCATAAAGATCACAAACCACAGTTCAAAACACACGTGGCCTGCGGATTAATACATTTTTCATTGGGAGATTAGTCCTAAATTTGTAACAATCACAGAGAGAGCGCCTCTAGCATTATTCAAATCACATGTATGAAAGCATTTAGGCTTCTCTGTAAAATTTAATAATGATGGATAAAGTTGTGGAGGGTTATTCGGGATGTGGTGGCTTTCATTAAAGGTGTTTTCTGTCACTACATGTTTAGCCTGCATTAATGCATTCAGTGTAAACAATACGATTAATCATTTAAAGATCGAGATCTCAACACCCACGCAACGTCAATTATAAATGATAGGGATTTGCATACGTTTATTAATCTTAAGAGATTCAGTCTTTAGTCTTTTGAGTTAGCAATAAAGTTACAACCAGACAATAACACAGAAGTACTGAGAGAACAGTTTGTAGTTTAGATCAAACCACTGATGTTTATGGTAAAGATTAATATCACAGTCATATGCATTTAACCTGACGCTCAAAAATGAAAGTTGTAGGCAGCAATTACATTAACCAATAGGTGGAGACAACCAGCTATCAAACATATGCCGCTGCATAATTCTTCAAAAAATTATCATCCAGCAATAAACGTGAAGTTTAAGGAGTAAATAACTGAATCATTTAAAGGGTTTAAATGCAAAAACCTCTAGTTTTTAATCAGGCTCTGATATGCATGTTTAGTAACATCACTTTTATGGCAAAGAAAAAGTCCCTTTCCTGGTCTTTAAAGTGAAATATCTCAACATAATCAAAGGAGGCTGAGAAAAATGTTAATTTTCGATGGAAATTTAAGATGGCACTTAGAAGTTTTTTTCATCTGAACTCTTCATTTATTGAAAATGAGAATAAATATAAATATGAATTGTACATGTTAAATTTCTACATTTAGCGTTGTCTGCAACAGTAGTAGTACAGTAGTATCATTTTTCACAGTACTGAATATTTTACAATTTACAATTTATTTAGTTATTTATTTTTTTAGATTTAGTTTTGGCTTTTTTGCCTTTATCGAGAGGATAGGTCAGTATTTTAGACAGGAAAAGAACTGGGAAAGAGAGGGGGTAGGGTCAGGAAATGTCCTTGAGCCAGGATTCGAACACGGGACACCCTGAAGTGCTACTGCACCATATGTCAGTGCGCTAACCTGTCTGCTGTCTTGCAGTGCTGTTTTTGTAATAAATGGAAAGCAAATTACATTTGTCTCCTTCACTTTTCAGCTAATACAATAAAAATGGTCCAATTCATGACTAAAAAACCATAATGCGATCTGAACTGTGAGATTTGTGATCCTTTGCACCACTAATAACAACACACGAATGTGTTATTACAAAGTATGTGTGCAAAACGTAACATTTTACCTCATACAGTTCTGGCTTGTTGGCAGGAGCTGTTTAAATGGAGATGGAAAATGCAGATATAAAATCAAATACGAGACAAAAAATAAAATAAATGAGACTAAAAAGAGATTTTCTGCCTCACCTCCTCCCATCACTCCAGATGCAGGTATTCCATGAAACATGATGACCTACAAATTAATCATATATATAAAACAACAAGCTCATTATTATGTTATCATTATTATCAGTTAAAAGAATGAATAAATGATATTAAATAAACATTTACTGATCTATTTTTGTTATCATACAGTGTGGCTATGGAAATACTGTTCAAGCTTAGGGACAAACAGACATGTGTGATTAATTTTATTGATTTTAAAGATTAAAAGGATTGTTTGAATCCAGATATACATTGAATCTTAACAGTAAGTTAGTAGCTAAAACAAGCGATTGTGTTTTGTTTACTTCCTGACAAACAAAAAGCGATGCTAGCTCAGAAAGCTAGCTCAGATTTGACTTGAATTCCGCTGTATATCTACACAGGATGTTCTTTTCTCTCGTTTAATCTCATCTTGTACACACATATAACGTCGTATCGATTAAAAAGCTACGCATTTCTGAAACAATAGAGGCGCTTTTAGCAAAAACGCACCAGGAAAAAGACAACTCACTCACCCTTATATTGACGTCACCCAAAAGCTGACGTGACGTCGCCGGATGATTTCGTAACGTCCTGCTTTTTATTATTCATTACAAATAGTTATTGAATGCAAATTAAATAGTTATTTGTAATTCCAAACACGAAATTAATCAAATAATTATTTATTGTTACGTTCAATATTAGAATAAAACTAACATTTATGAGTACTTTTTCATTGAGAGGGTTGCCAGGTCCCTTCATCCATCCCTCAATACCACACTCTCTCCACTTTACTAATTGTAATTAGTTGCATATAGGTACATTATGATATAATAACATGTTAATACAACTTAATACATATTAATAAAAAACAACAGAGTTCATTGTTTAGACCAGATCTGTTATTCGTAAAGAGCTAATACCTAATAGTTCACAAATACTTGGCAACCCGACGGTGTCTTTGAATCCGCGCGGGAATCATTTGACAAGAAAGAAGCAGTGAAAACAACAGCTCGAAAAACTGTCAAAAATACAATATAAACGCTAATATCGACTGTTTACGTCGTTTATTATGAGACTGTAAGCGTCAGATTTAATTATTCGCCTTGGTCTGGTTAATTTGGGCGTGTGTGTGCTTTGTAAACACAGAATGAAGTCTGTGAGGAGCAGTAAAGTGAAGCCCGCGGCTAATAGAGAAGAGGAGTGCGGAATATGGCTGGACACGAAAGAGCTCAAAGAAAAGAAACAACAGGTCAGACAATCTGTGCTATTGTTACACACAGTCCATAATACTACATGTAACGTAAAGAAATAACACTTGCAGAATGAGACTGTCCTGGTTTGCTATAGCAGTTACTCACCCATTTGCCATTCAACATGATCCAGTGTTCAGTCTGAAAGAAGTGAAGGTGTTTTAGGGGGGGAAATTGGGTATTTTGTTCTGTACAGTGGATTTCTATGGTGGTCTGCGGTTCAAACTACAGTTAAGTTTAGTTTTAAAGGGCTTTCAATGATCCATGAAGAGTAACCTAGCAAATGGATTGACAATAGTAATAACAAAAGGCTTTATACTTAATCATGAATGCCATAATGCTCTTTATCTGGGATGCAAACTTTTGTGGTTAAAAAATATTGCAGTTTTAATGTTACTTTTTTAAAGAAAATAACTCTTATTCATCGACTGGGACATTTTGAACTGGGAGTTACTGCAGACTTTTATTTCAGTATGGTGACGTATAAGCATCTTTCGCACAATCTGTAACTTTGTTGTGATTAATGTTGTGTTTGTACAGAAACAGCTGACCCGTCCGGCCTCCAGATTCCGATCTCCTCTGTCTGGATCAGGACTCTACAATGTGGCCCTGATGAGCTTCACTCAGACCAAACTCAACATGCCCGTCACCAGACAGAGCACCATATCAACATTCTTCTCTCCCAAACCCAGAGGTGTGTATGTATGTATTTATCTGTCTGTCTATCTGTCTAACCATTCATCCATTGTTCTATCCATCTGTTCTGTCTGTCTGTCTATATCTCTATTGTTCTATTTACTTGTCTATCCATCCATCCTGTCTGTCTTATTTTTTGTTCTATTTACTGGTGAATCTGTCCATCCATCCTGTCTATTTTTCTGTCATTCTATTTACCTGCCATTCCATCCATCTATCTCTGTCTGTTTACTACCTGTCATTCTATCTATCCATCCATCATCCATCTATCTGTCGTTCTATCTATCATTCTAGCTATCCATCCAACCATTTGTCCTGTCTTTCTGTCTATTTTTCTATCTTTTTATTTACCTGTAATTTCTTCCATCCATTCATCCAGCTATCTTTATCCATCCATCCATCCATCTGTCTGACTGTGTCTATCTACCTGTCATTATGTCTATTCAGTCATCCATTGTTCTATCCATCCATCCTGTCTGTCTATTTTTCTATTGTTTTATTTACTTGTCAATCTGTCCATCCATCCATCCGTCTGTCTGTCTGTCTGTCTATATCCATTCATCCATCCATCCATCCATCCATCCATCTATCTATATCCATCCATCCGTATGTGTGTCTGTCTATCTACCTGTCAATTTATCTATTCATTCATCCATTGTTCTATCCATCCATCCATCTGTCTGTCTGGTGTTCTATCCATCCATCCATACATACATATATCATTCTAGCCAGCCATCTATCCTGTCTGTCTATTTTTCTATCGTTTTATTTACTTGTCAATCTGTCTATCCATCCATCCTGTCTATTTTTATATTTACCTGTCATTCCATCCATCCCTCCATCCATTCCTCCATCCATCCCTCCATCTATCCATCCATCCATCTATCCATCTATCTATCTATCTATCTATCTATCTATCTATCTATCTATCTATCTATCTATCTATCTATCCATCCATCCATCCATCCATCCATCCATCCATCCATCCATCCATCCATCCATCCATCCATCAATCTATCCACCCCCCCACCCCCCTCCCTCCCTTCCTTCCCACATCCATCCATCCATCCATCCATCCATCCATCCATCCATCCATCCATCCATCCATCCATCCATCTATCTATCCCTCCACTGTTTTATCCACCCATCCGTCTATTTTTTCATTCATCCATTGTTCTATCCATCCATCATCCATCTATCTGTCATTCTAGCTATCCATTCATTTTTCTTGTCTGTTTATTTTTCTATTTTTCTATTTACCTGTTATTCCATTCCATCCATCCGTCTGTCTGTTTGTCATTCTATCCATTCATCCATATATCCATCCTGTCTATTTTTCTACCATTCCATCCATCCATCCATCCATCCATCCATCTATTCATCCCTCCACTGTTCTATCCATCCATCCATCTGTCATTCTAGCTATCCATTCATCTGCCCTGTTTGTTTTTCGATCTTTCTATTTACGTTATTCCATTCCATCCATCCATCCATCTATCTATCTATTCATCCCTCCACTGTTCTATCCATCTGTCCATCTGTCATTCTAGCTATCCATTCATCTGCCCTGTTTGTTTTTCTATCTTTCTATTTACGTTATTCCATTCCATCCATCCATCCATCCATCCATCCATCCATCCATCCGTCTGTTTGTCATTCTATCCATCCATCCATCCATCCATATATCCATCCTGTCTATTTTTCTATCATTCCATCCATCCATCCATCCATCCATCCATCTTTTTATTTAATTTTTATTATTAAACTTTTAATTATAAATTATAATTACACAATAAAAATGATAATTACATATAATAGTGTAATAATAGTGTAATACACATTCACAATTTTCTATAGTATCTTAAAGTGTCCTGGTTACAATTGTCAATTTATTCTTCATGCAGTGTGATTTCTATGTTTATGAAATCTGATCTAGTATTTAACCCTTATCATGCCATAATACACTGTTAAATGACCATGTATTTGCTCAGACTGTAACCCTGAGACAAACACCAGCACCAAGCGAAAACACGCCATCAGTTTGGATCCATCAATTGACTCGATCATTCACACATCAGATGATGGAGATTCAGAAGAAACATCAGCCAGTGATAATAACCATCAGCGCTTTCTTCATTTCATAAACGGAGAAGATCCGGAAGAAGAACAACCGCCTGGAAAAAGGAGACTCATTTCTTATCACACTGACCAAAATAAATCAGACACTGAAGAATACAGTGATCAAGATGCTGAAAACGTATATACAAATCAGATGAATCCTGAAAATCCACACCATGGACACGTCGTTCAGTCTCCAAGTCCTATAAACGAACATCTAAGAGATCAAAAATCCTCATTTAGGACGTCCATCTTAACATCCAGATCTGTAAATGAACACAAACCACATGCAAATCTTCATAAAGAGCCAAAAACGAAAGCATCTCCATTGAAACGAATGGGAAAAGAGAACAGCTCGCCTGTTAAAAACACTCCATCCTCTCCTTTCAAGCATAAATCAATCTCCAGTCCATCCAAATGCAGATTAAAGGGGAAATACAGATGTCCGCCCAGTAATCCGTGTAAGGAAGAGAGTGTTTCGTCGATGTTTACTCAGGATTCTGAAGGTTTCTGTGTGATCGCTCACCGTGATCAGTGTTTAGAGAGCGCAGATCTACAGCCTGCAGATTACAGGAGCAGTCAGGATGAAGAGTCAGACGCAGAGATGCTCTTTACTCAGGATTCAGAGGGAAACATGGTCATCAAACACTGATCTGACATTTACAGCAAGAAACTGAATTAACAAACGAGACTCCTTTGGCTTTTGAAGCTGTTGACTTTATATTGTTGTTTTAAATGTGTGAGATGATGTAGAAACTAAATATTTTAAAGTTGTAATCAATGAAGAGACAAATAAAATCCTGAAATGTGGTCATCTGGTTTTCGTGCTGTATTATATGTGATAATGGCATATTTAAAGGGGCAGTTCACACACAAAATAAAAATGGCGACATCATTTCCATGAGTTTCCGAGCCTCAAAATTAGCTGAAACACCAAAAATCTGGAGGTTTTTTTTTTGGAGACAACTTGATTTTGTTTTATGTTCAGTTTACTTAAATTTGTAAAAAACGTGTCATCATTTTTTTCTTTCTCTTAATCACAAAGAATATACTGAAAAAAGCTGGAAAAAACAGCCAGTTGGCTCAGAATTCAGAGGTGAACATGGTCATCAAACACTGATCTGACATTTACCAGAAATTAATAATAATAATAAATAAAAAACAGGACTTCTGTGTCTTTTATTGATTTATTTTGAAGCTCCTGACTTTATATTTTTGTTTTAAATGTGTGAGATGATGTAGAAACTAAATATTTTAAAGTTGTAATCAATGAAGAGACAAATAAAATCCTGCAATGTGGTCATCTTGTTTTTGTGCTGTTTTATATGTGATAACGGCATATTTAAAGGGGCAGTTCACTCACAAAATAAAAATGGCGACATCAGCGAGTTTCTGAGCTTAAAATGAGCTGAAACACCAAAAATCTGGAGTTTTTTTTTGGAGACAACTTAAATGTTTTATGTTCAATCCACTTACATTAGTAAAAACCGTGTCATCATTTATCTGAGTTTTTTCTTTCTCTTGATCTCAAAGAATATACTGAAACAAAGCTGGAAAAAACAGCCAGTTGGCTCAGAATTCAGAGGTGAACATGGTCATCAAACACTGATCTGACACTTACCAGATATGAATAATAATAATAAATAAAAAACAGGACGTATGTGGCTTTTATTGATTTATTTTGAAGCTCCTGACTTTATATTATTGTTTTAAATGTGTGAGATGATGTAGAAACTAAATATTTTTAAAGTTGTAATCAATGAAGTGACAAATAAAATCCTGCAATGTGGTCATCTTGTTTTCGTGCTGTATTATATAATGGCATATTTAAAGGGGCAGTTCACACACAAATGAAAAACGTGTCAACATTAACGTCTCATCGGAGTTTAAAATGAGCTGAAACACCAAAAATCTGGAGTTTTTTTGGAGACGACTTATATGTTTTATGTTCAGTTTACTTGAATTTGCAAAAACTAATAAGTCAACTTAATTTCATCATGTTGTCCCAACACAACTTGGTTGTGTGGAACCCAGCAATTTTGACAGAGCTTTTATTGATTGATTCTGAAGCTGATGATGTAGAAAATAAATATTTATTTAAAGTTGCAATCAATGAAATGACACATAAGGTCCTAAAGTGTTGTCATCTTGCTTTAATGCTGTGATGTTTGTGATATTTAAAGGGACAGTTCACTCAAAATTGAGTTTTTTTAATGTTGAACACAAAGGCAGATATGCAGGAAAAAAGCTGGGGGGAATCAGCCAATTGACATGCATTATATTAGTATTTTTAATATTATTATTGCAGTATTTTTTGTTCCTTCACTGTAAAATAAAATCTTGCTGCCTTAATTTTTGTAGTTGAATCAAACTTTTCTAGTCATCTCAACTTAAACCAATCAAACTGACTACAAATATTAATTTAAACTAGAGCAGATACTTGATTAAATTATTAATAATGCTCAATTTTCTCCTTTCAATCACCTCAAATTAATCTTCAGTCCATCTAAAAGCAGATTAAAGGGGAAATTCAGTTTTGGAGATGACTTAATTGATTTGCGTTTAATCCACTTAAATGTGTAAAAACTGTTAACTCAACTTAATTTCTTCAAATATTATATATTGTAATGATAATGACATATTAAAAGGGACAGTTCACTTTAAAAAGATTTTTCATTTACGAGAATTTTTTATTTTATTTTGTTGAACACAAAGAAAACTGAAAATAGCTAGAAAAAAACAACCAATTGACTTATTATGTAATACATTTGTATTTTTTTGCATTAGTATTGTAGTATTTTTGCTGCTATGAATGTCAGTGGCCGTTTTTTCCCAACATTTTTCTAAATATCTTTTTTTTTTTTTGTGTTTCCAAAAATTAGCAAAAAGCGTATTTTTAACCAGAACTGATTATCTTGGAAGTGAATTCTGAAAAGTGAGTATGAAGCATTGAATGCAAGTATGAAGATGTGTGTGAAATAATTTAGTTGAAACATTCACAGCTTAAACAAACACGTTTCAGGACCTACAAATACAAACCCTCGCAATCAAAGTGAATAAAATGCAAGCATTTCTTAATTCAATGCATTATTATTTTTTTGATTGAGTGCTATTAAACAGGCTTTTTATTTCAAATACTTTTGGCATTAATGTTCTTCCATAAAATGTCAATTTAAAATGTTTTTATTTTTTGTGTTGTAATGACAGAGTTTGTCCAGCAGGTGTCAGAACGCTCAGTGTGTCTGTTCTGAATCTGCTTGTATTTAAAACAACACGTCACATTACACATTTCAGAGATTTGTTGCTTCACATTGGACTCTAAAGCTCTGCCATTTGAAGTTATGTAATGCTTTATATTGCGTTAAATACTTCACATGCTGTTCTTGTTTGTCAAGCTGATGTTTCCCCGTCGCTGCAGTGTTTAAAGCCGCTGTCAGGGGTGAGAAATGTATTCATTAATGAAGCATACGCTGACAAACTCGCCCATTTCTCACCCATTTTACATCAATGCCAAAAGACTGATGATGATCCACCGGCAATCATTACATTCCAAAGCAATACAGTGCCCAGCATATACGAGTACACTCCATTTTGGTGGCATTTTTATCCATTTCTCAGTGAATATCGGTCATATTTTGATGCATTTAAGCCAAACAGATCAATTAAACAGATATATTTATGTCACCAAACATCTTTAGAAGTAGAATGTTTAAATTCATGCAAAATATTGAGAAACAAATTACAAAGTACTAAATTTTATATATATATTTTTTTGTTTCTCTTGAATTCTGCTTTTTTTACATTTATATATTTAATATTTAAATGTATGCATGCTAGTTTTGGACCGTTGTCGTAAGTTATTTTGTTAGATGAGCTCCAGATTTAATTTCAGTACTGATTATTCTAATGCATATACATTACTGTAAAGCGTCCTATAGAGAATATACATTTAAATGAAATATATGTGAGGGGCAGTGGTGTAAAGTAACTACAAATACTCAAATTACTGTAATTGAGTAGTTTTTCTCAGAAATTGTAATTTACTTTTAAAGATGTGTGCTTTTACTTTTCCTTGAGTACATGTTTAGTGCAGTATCAGCACTTTCACTCCGCTACTTTCCTCCAATCTGCAGACTCTACTTTATAATTTCTTGTTTATGGGGATTAGAAAAATCAGTCCTGTAATTCCCGTCCAATCAAATTACACACAGAAGGTAAATTGCATCATAAAGAACTACTTCAAGACATGTGCACTTTACCTTGCAGCAAACTGTATGAAAGCATTAAAAGTGTCCAAGAAGATGTTCAACATCTTTACATGCATTGACCCAGAGACTGTTTACATCAGAGATGCCCAAACACAGTCCTGGAGGGCCGGTGTCCTGCAGATTTCAACTCCAACTTGCCTCAACACACCTGCACAGATGTTTCTAGAAAGCCTACATAGATATATACATTAGATGTCGCCTGGCCTATTGTTGTCTATTGGACGGAATGCGTCAATAGCTCCGCCATCTTGCTACAGGGTAGCGCTCCTTTGAAATGAATGCGGGACCAAGGTACAGTTGAGGACTGTGGCCATCCAAAGCCAGAGATATACACATATACACATATATCTATGATCGGGAGTTTTCCTGGATGTTAGTGTGTAATTATTATTTTTTTTATTATGAAAATTATAATTTTACATCACTTTTCTACATTGATGGATCAGTGACCGCACGGGCATTCCTGACAAAAAGCTTGTGTTTGTGTGTACAGAAATGTACTATCCACCCTCCCTGTTAAATGTGATCTAATCATGTCCTGAAACACAGCTCCTCTCCTGCTTTCACTTCTCATACTGACGGAGGGAGCGATTCGCTTGTGAATGAATCCCCCGAACGACTCTTTCACTAACGTTAGCCGACAATAATACAAGTTTCTGGCAGCGCAGCATCTCGTTGTCATATTTCTTTTGCATTGTTTGCTGATTTTATTCAACAAAACTAGCATAAGCCGAGTGTTTAGTGCGAGTTGGAGCTGCTTTGCCGTATGGTGAATGCAGTAAGAGACTGTCATCATCAATAACTTTACCTGATTAGCACAAAAGTTCATAACGTACAAAAACAGAAAAAAAAACGTAATATTACCTATGAAATGTTCTGCCTTTGTGCTTTGTTTTCTTTGTTTGCTCGTTACTACACCCGTAAACAGCGCTAAAGTCCCGCATCTTCACGTAATAACACTGTCTTGACTAGTGCGGTTGAATGACGTTTGTCCTGGGAGCCCTGTACCAATGTGGCGGCGCTATTGACGCATGCTCAGGGTCGCTATACGATATCTAGTGTATATATCTATGGAAAGCCTATATAAGATTGATTAGCTAGCCCAGGTGCGTCTAATTGGGATTGGAACTAAACTTTGCAGGACACTGGCCCTCCAGGACTGAGTATGGGCACCGCTGGTTTAGATGCATGTCACTGATGAGAAGATGATGGATATTTACAGTATGATGACCAAAATGACCATAAACACCCAGCAGACACAAGACGTCAACATGCCGTCAGAATGAAATTGTACCCTAACGTCTTGGAGACCCTGCATTTTGTTTGGAAATGAAAATCGGGTTTACATCAGAACTCAACATCAGCCCGATGTCAATATCCAACGTCCAACCTAAAACCAACCAAATATCAACGTCTAATAATGTTACAGCTTGACGTTGTGTGGACGTTACCACTATGACGTCTATCAGACGTTATATTTTGGTTGCCATAACTGATGAATAAATGTCAGTATTTGACGTCAATAGGATGTTGGTTTAAGATGTTGCCTCGATATTGGATTTTGGTCACTTTCTAACAACCTGAAATCAACCAAATATCAACATCATTTGACGTCATTATTGTACATCAGAATAATGTTGTGCTTAGACGCTGGCTAGACATGGAATTTTGGTCACCTGACATCACAACCTAAATCTAACCTAATATTAGCGTCTGATGATGTTGTCTGCCTGCTGGGCAATAACTAAATGCACTACAGAATGTTACGTTTACACACACACATCCACAAATGACATGTAAACGCATCAGCTTTATACAGCATAATACTCACCACTCATGAGTACTTTAAAGGGCTACTTTTTACTCCTACTCTGAGTAATATTCACAACAGATACTTTTACTCTACTCACACTACATGTTTAGGCAAGTAATAGTACATTTACTTAAGTATGCTTTTTCAGTACTCTTTCCACCACTGGTGAGGGGTGAACTCAAATGTTGAGCACTGTATTTACATACATTGTGCGAGTCAAAATTATTTTTCTTAAATAGCATAAATCATAAGAATATAAATTCAAGATTTCCTACTGTACATATGAAGTCATTAGTAATATGCATCACTTCATTTGAACGTCATTTGATCTGAACTCGTTCAAAATTGTACGATTTTAAAAAGGAGGCGTGGCACCTAACTCCACCCCTAAACCCAACCGTCATTGGGGAATGAGCAAATCGTACTGAAATGTACAAATTAGATCGTACGAATTCATACGAATTAGCCACTAAATGAAAAAGTTACGAATTGCCGTGAGATTGCGTTGGAAATACAGAGCTATAAAATACCATCTGAACTATTTAAAAGGATATTAAAACAATACAAAATCTTATAAAAAGGCACTCGATCATTTGCAGAACAAAAACAAGTTATGGTGTGACAAATAAAGGTTGTTTCGTTTGTCAAATATCAATACATTTTTATTTGTGTTATGTTTTGATAGCACTTACTAGTTATTCCTTTACCAAAAAAAAGCTCAATTATCTAAGTTTTATTTATTAATCAATTGCACAGCCTTGGTTAATATTATTATAGTAAACTCATAGCAAACTTGACTTAACCCTTTGTGCTCAAGTAGGTTACTAAGGGTTGATGGAGCATTATTTTGTTTTGAAGTCGATTAAATTATCGGTAGGGACATTTCAGTAATTGGTGGATTTTGGTGGGGACACGTCCCCTCCGTCCATGCCTATTCTACACCCTTGCAATAGGGTAAGTGAAATACTTAAAACCAAAAAAAAAAAAAATTGCTATAGTTATATACACTTTTTTTTGTTTTTGTTCTTTGAATAAAAAGCAAATCGTTTGAAAGCTTTTTAGTTTTGAAACTTTAAATTTGTCTTGCGTTTACACTGTACCCTGCAAATAAGCTGTTCTTACTTAGTTTTTTCTCATTTCTAGTCTAAATATCTAAAAAAAATTCAGTCAAGAAGAATTTTTTAAACAAGTAAAAAATATGTTTTTGTTGTCAGAAATGTCAAAATTAAGTGAGTTTTTCCATTAAAACAAGCTGAATACTCAACATAACTAGGGCCTAGTTCAGACTGCGTGATTTTAGCCCTAATTTTGACTCGCCGGCAGGTTTTGAGAAATCGCAGACAAATGCCTGAAATCACAGGCAAATTGGTGCTTGTGCACGTGAGTGACAATCACACAGTATGAACTCCGCTACTCATCCGTTTGCACTGGCTGCCAGTTGCTGCTCGCATCAAATTCAAAGCTCTGATGTTTGCTCACAAAGCGACTTCTGGCTTTGCTGCAGATGTATGTGCCCTCCAGAAACCTGCGTTCAGTGAATGAACGTCGCCTCGTGGTTCCATCCCAAAGAGGGAAGAAATCACTTTCCCGAACTCTCGCATTCAATCTGCCCAGTTGGTGGAATGAACTCCCTAACTGCATCAGAACAGCAGAGTCACTCGCTGTCTTCAAGAAACGACTAAAAACTCAACTATTTAGTCTCCACTTCACTTCCTAATCTGCAATTGCCTCTCTGGCTCCACCGCTAACTGCATTACAAAAAAAAAAAATTACTAATGTCTTGCTTCTTAGACTTTACACACCTGAAACTCGCCTACAGCACTTATTCATTGTTGCTCTTATAGTTGTGTAAGTTGCTTCCTTGTCCTCATTTGTAAGTCGCTTTGGATAAAAGCGTCAGCTAAATGACTAAATGTAAATCAATTTATTTTTATTGATGTTTATTCATTTTAAATTGGCATTCATTCCATCTGGAGAAAATAGTTTGCTAAATGACTAAGTGTACATTTCTCCTCTGCAAATGATTGCACAGGGTCTGCGTCCAGAGCCAAATAACAACAATGATTATTTACTGCGTGAGGAAATGTTATGAGCTGAAAGCAGCATCTGTAAACCCTGGGAAACTGCATCAAACAGGATTGTGGATGGTTTTATCTATCAAGAGACTCAAGTATTGGTAAAATATACTGAAGAATATTTAATTTTTTGAATACCTAATACAGGACCAGAAGGTGTTTTAACGTATGAGTTTTGCAAACACCATACAGTACTGTTACATTTTAACTTATTTATGACTTTGACTTAATACGTTTAAGTTGCTGACCTAAAAATTGCCATGTTTACATTAGAAGTGTGCGATATTGACCAAAAATCACATCTCTCATTTTTTTTATTTCATTCATTTTCTTTTCAGCTAAGTCTCTTTATTTATCCGGGGTCGCCACAGTGGAATGAACCGCCAACTTATCCAGGATGTTTTACGCAGTGGATGCCCTTCCAGCTGCAACCCATCTCTGGGAAACATCCACACACTCTCATTCATACACATACACTACGGTCAATTTAGCTCACCCAATTCCTCAATACCGCATGTCTTTGTGGGAAACCGGAGCACCCGGTGGAAACCCATCAAGCATTGTTAGCTCTTGCTTGTGTAAATACTGAACTGTATCATAAGTTTAAAATATAAAAACGACATTTTTGGATTCATTTGATCAAGTTTCATTACACAGTCAATGCTTTCAGACTCGTGTGTTTGTGTCAGATGGCTTATAAATAAACCAGCAGCTATGACCAGGGCCAGACGGAATCTGCAGAAGTTTTTTGCTATTTCTGCGGAAAATTTTGGTAAAAATCAGCATTATTTTGAGAGTATCATAACTAAAACCTTAATATGTGAAGTAAAAAGTAATACCTTTTTAACTTTTATTTAACGTTTAAAATGCAAATCCAATTAGATCCACTTTATTTGGTGAACAAAGCAAGTCTCTCATATAATATCTCTACTAAAAGACAGAAAATTTGACTGTACAAACTGCATTGTGCATAAATCACATGAACATTTTCATATTAGTCACTAATATTACTGAAATTAATAAAAAAAAAACTGAATAAATATAGATTTACACACATTTACTCAAGTAAACAAACAGAATTAATGATGGGCTAAAAATCTGTGGAAAATCTGCGCGCACAGATTCCGTGTGGGCCTAGTTATGACCTTATCTTACCTTAAATATCGCACACCCCTAATTCAACACATAATGGTTCCATCATGCTGTGTAAATATTGTTAATGTATAATAATGGTAAAAATAATGATAATGATAACAGCTTTAGGACAAAAATATCCATCAGCGATCTGTTTAAAGCACAGTGGGTCTGGGGAAGTCAGACGTGTTTGTCCATATATTGCTCATAACTGTAATTGTCTAAATCTACAACTCCCACAAGCACAGTGTGCGGATTCTTCCGTGTCAGCTAACAGTGATCTAGTGAAAGTGCTTGAGGAATTGTGGGTAGGAGGAGGCAGATCAATCAGCCGGCGATCTTTGTGGGCTCGGTCACCAGGCTGGAGCCGTCCCAGACCGTTTTAAACTGCTCTGGAACTGGAAACTCCCTCTGTTGAAGACATGAGAAGATGTCTAATGATACACTGGGCTATTTTAAAGCCTTCTAATTTAGTTTAGTTTGTTTACAACCATCAAAAACCCCTTTAGATTCCTCATGATACACACAGCAGCAGCAGCAGCAGCAGCTCTGTTCTCACAGCGTCTCTAACAGCTCTGATTGGTCAGGTGACTCTGTTCTGATTGGTCAGATTTTCCAACTTTGCTCTGATTGGTCAGATGGCTCTACTCTGCTTTGATAGGTCAAATGGTCTTAGTCTGCTCTGATTGGTCATATATGTTCCTTCTCTGCTCTGATTGGTCAGATGTTATTATCAGATGTTATTACTCTGACTGGTCAAATGGCCATCCTCTTCTCTAAGTGGGTCTACTCTGCTCTGATTGGTCAGATGGCTCTACTCTGCTCTGATTGGTCAGATGGCTCTACTCTGTTCTGATTGGTCAGATGGCTCTACTCTGTTCTGATTGGTCAGATGTTTTTCCTCTGATCTGATTGGTCACATGACTACTCGGTCAGATATTACTACTCTGCTCTGAGAGGTCAGATAGTTCTACTCTGTTCTGATTGGTCAGATGTTTTTCCTCTGCTCTGATTGGTCACATGGCTCTACTCTACTCGTCAGATGTTTCTACTTTGCTCTGATAGGTCAGATGTTCTTTCTCTGCTCTGATTGGTCACATGACCATCCTCTTCTCTGACTGGGTCTATTCTGCTTTGGTCAGATGTTCCTTTGCTCTGATTGGTCAGATGTTTCTACTTTGCTCTGATAGGTAGGTCAGATGTTCTTCCACTACTCTGATTGGTCACATGGCTCTACTCTGCTCTGATTGGTCACATGGCCATCCTCTTCTCTGACTGGGTCTATTCTGCTGTGGTCAGATGTTCCTACTCTGCTCTGATTGGTCAGATGTTCCTACTTTCCTCTAAATGGTCAGATATTTTTACTCTGATTGGTCACATGGCTCTGATCAGCTCTGATTGGTCACATGGCCATCCTCTTCTCTGATTGGGTCTATTCTGCTGTGGTCAGATGTTCCTACTCTGCTCTGATTGGTCAGATGTTCCTACTTTCCTCTAAATGGTCAGATATTTTTACTCTGATTGGTCACATGGCTCTGATCAGCTCTGATTGGTCACATGGCCATCCTCTTCTCTGATTGGGTCTATTCTGCTGTGGTCAGATGTTCCTACTCTGCTCTGATTGGTCAGATGTTCCTACTTTCCTCTAAATGGTCAGATATTTTTACTCTGCTCTGATTGGTCAGATGGCCCTAATCTGCTCTGATTGCTCAGATGTTCTGCCTCTTCTCTGATTGGTCAGATGTTTCTACACTGCTCAGATTGTGACTTCTTACAGTTTTTATTGGAAACCAAAATTCAATGCAACCTCCACGAGTCCTCAGCTACATCTACAGTGTTTGAGAGTGTTCTCACATAATCATCTTCTCCCTCGGGAACCAGGATGTTCATCTCGGAGCTCTTGGCACTGACGATCTCACAGTCTAGTGAATCCTTGCTCAGGTAGACATGGCAGCCCTCGGTCTTGTTTATGGAGATAGTCGGAACTTTTCCCATCACCTGAGAGGCCAGAAAATAAGGTTTATGACATGTTAAACAGCAATATATAGCACTACCTACTGTGCCACTGCGTCGCCCATATATAACTATATACATTAGAATATATTAACAAGTATATATATATATATTCTCTTTCTGTTCGCCATGCGGTATCAACTTACAACAGAAGTCGAAAGTTAAAAATGAAACACCCGAAATTGCATGAAACTCTGGAGAGCCTCTGTGTTCCTTTAAGGTAATAAAATCACTGCTTAGGCTACACGGTAGACTTTTAATAAGAGTATAATCTTAATCATATTTAAATCGGAGTATTGGTGTCTTATGTAAATGTACTCAGAACGTCTGGTGAAGTCGCGAGCTGTCAAAGACAGGGCATTACTCTGCCTTTCAGCATGAGCCCTCCAAGTTTACCGTGTTTCCTCATTAAACGCAGTGAAAGCGTATGCTTCGCGTTGTTGTGTCAGAATCCTTGTGAAATGCAGTAATACTTTAGGACGCTTAGTTGAAGCAAATTTGATGAACGTGATCATGCGTGTTGAATCTGAGGGGAGTCGCTCCAGTATGGAAGGCCGTTGGGGCCAAAACGTCTGCAGCGCGTTGTGTGTGTCTGTCTGTGTCAGGTCCGTTGAGGGGTGTCAGGGGTGGAGTGAGCGACGTATCTGAGTAGGGGTGTGTAATGTATTTAACGACCGGTTTGCAAGAAATTATCATTCATTTGCGGGCATTTGGGAGTCTCTGTGCACTTGCGGGATACTCCTAGTCTTAGCAACTGGATGAATGTAAAGGAGGATTAATCAAAATTGTTTCTACTCTATAATTAATGTTCTCAACTCACAGCAATAAAACTTTACAATGAGTGCAACAGTTTGTATTCTATAGTTTATTATTATAATTTTTCATTTTCCATATCTGCAATTCCTGTATTTTGGCATTTTTTTGCAGTCCACTTAGAATCCAACATGGAAATCAATGTTTTCTTTATTGGCATTGATTGTTTTGAAATTTAAATGTCATTAACATGCCTGTGTTTTAATTTCTGTAATAAATATGGCTGTCAAGCCAGGATCTTGATGGTTTATTGTGGGTATGTTGTTTACAGAAGAAATCTGTGTTACAAGTTAAACAAAAATTCTATTAAACAATTATATTTTGAATTTAAATATTTTTTTCTTGCGTTTACATTAATTTTACATTTTAAATAGCCAAAATTACAAGTTTCAGTATTTTAATTGCGATTAATCGTGATTAATTAGTAAATTTTTTAAATCGATTGACAGCACTAATATATATATATATATATATATATATATATATATATATATATATTAATATAAAAATATAAGGTTTAAGGTGTGATATTAATTCATGTGAACATCACTTCAAGATCTCATCACTATTTCCCTCTTGCCTGTGTTGACGAGGACGTTCTTAATTGATTTGCCAGTTATGACCATAACTCACGCACACACATTATGCCAACACGTTCTCATTGACAATAACAAACCCAGAGTGCCGACCGCTCACAGATCAACACACTTCAGCCTGCCATACACACACACTAAAGTCTGACCTGAAGCTGAATATCTCTGGAGTTGATGATCTCCACGATGCCCACCACATTGTCAAAGACCAGGCCCAGCTTCTTACAGTTATCTGTGCAGACAAACAGACAGAGAGTTGTGTACTTTTCATATACCGTTCACTTTTCTGTCTTCTCTCAGTGGCTCAGAGAAAAAAAGACAGGCGCACGAAAAAACAATGATTTATTGGATTTACTACATGGTTTTTAAGGCGTGCAGTTGCAAACAATTGACTTGGGCTGAATTTAAACTAACAAATTAAGCTGAACATTACTACATTTAATTGGTTTGTTTAAATTCCTTCATTCATTTTCCTTCGGCTTGGTCCTTTTGTTCATCAGGGGTCACCACAGCAAAATGAACCGCCAACTATTCTAACATATGTTTTACACGGCGGATGCCCTTCCAACCGCAATGGTGTTTGGACTGTGGTGGAAACCGGAGCACCCGGAGGAAACCCACACCAACACGGGGAGAACATGCAAACTCCACACAGAAACGCCAACTGACCCAGCCGGGACTCGAACCAGCGACCTTCTTGCTGTGAGGCCACAGTGCTAACCTTTACGCCACCATGCTGCCTTGTAAATTCAGCCCATGTAAATCGATTGCAACCTCTTATCTTAAAAGAAAAAATAGAGAGTTTAATCTTATGCGAAAGCAAATGAAAAACTATTTAAAGACAGGAATTATTTGACACAATTTAATTTCAAGAACTGATTGAAAAAGAAATCTAACACTAGATCATTATTCAAGGACTTTTCCAGCATTCGTAACAATACAATGTGAGGATTCAGTTGAAATAATCAATATTGATATCCAGTATAGTTGTGCATGATCATTATCATGATGTATTGAATTACTGAATATCGGCCCATAATCTGCATGACAGTTTATTCTTACCCACGATGATGGAGTTGACTTTGCCTTTGACCTGCAGTGTGGAGCCGCTGCAGCTGAAGACGTAAACCACCTGTCTGAGCTCTGTGTCCTCGATCAGCAGCTCTGCACACTGATCCTGATACTCCTGCACACACACACACACACAATACAACACACACACACACACACACACACAATACAACACAAACATTCAACATATGCTGTGGAGACCCGGAAAATGAACTCAGAGACAGCAGAACAGCAGGTGTGTGGCGAGGGTTTTCCTCTTAGGTCTGCTCTTTTGGGAGATGATCATTAATATGGAACAAGAATTATTCAAATTATTTATTAAATTCCCTATTAAATTGCATTTTATTAAGGTCTACCCCTACCCTAACCTTAACAACCACAGTAATATATACATTTGAATTATTGTCTTACAGATTCCTGCAGACTATCCACAGCTGTCTCTAATCTGGACTTTACAGACATCCCAAGTTGAGAATAGTCATTCCCGGGCGAGAGTGTCGCGATTTGCAGGAGGTTGCGGGAGTTCTGCTATGTAAAACATTTGAAAAGCGATGGTGGGGGTGGTAGGAAAGTGGAAGATGTGAAGAGCCGGGGCAAGGGTTGGAGGGTCTTTAATTGAGTGCACGAGACGTGTCTGAAGAGTGAGGAGGGATCCGATGGTGAGGGGTGAGAATGGTGCGCGACATATTAGAGGAGCGGGAGGGAGACGTGCGATTTCTGGATAATCACCACTTGTTTGCAGGAACTTCCGGGAGACTTGGGATGCCTGACTTTATCCCAATTTTGATATTGGTTATAATTAGGAGCCCATGATGGACAGAGGCTGTTTCTCAATATGCGTTCTTAAGCGACCTTGTGTTCTCAAGATCTTGTGTACCGTCATCAACATCAACCGCCAAAAACTCAAGACTGCAAGAACGGAGGACGCGTGACAGAACCCTGATGTGTTCTTGATTGCGAGGATGCAGACTTCAGCGCAGAATTCATTGCAGTTAAATAAAGAAGTTGAGATTTTTCATTCATTTACCTTCGGCTTAGTCCCTTATTTATCAGGGGTAGCCACAGCAGAATGAACCGCCCATTATTCCTGCATATGTTTTATACAGCGGACGCCCTTTTGCCTTCAGAACTGCCTTAATCCTTCGTGGCAGAGATATAACAAGCTACTGGAAATATTCCTCAGAGATTTTGCTCCATATTGACATGATAGCATCACACAGTTGCTGCAGATTTGTCGGCTGCACATCCATGATGCCAATCTCCCGTTCCACCACATCCTAAAGCTGCTCTATTGGATTGAGCTCTGGTGGCTGTGGAGGCCATTTGAGTACAGTTAACTCATTGTCATGTTCAAGACACCAGTCTGAGATGATTCAGGCTTTATGACATGGTGTTATCCTGCTGCCATCAGAAGATGGAGACACTGTGCTCATAAAGGGATGGACATGGTCAGCAACAATACTCAGGGAGGCTGTGGCGTTTACACGATGCTCAATTGGTACTAATGAGCCCAAAGTGTGCCAAGAAAATCTCCCCCACACCATTACACCACCACCACCAGCCTGAACCGCTGATACAAGGCAGGATGATCCATGCTTTCATGTTGTTGATGCCAAATTCTGCCCCGACCATCTGAATGTGTCAGCAGAAATGGAGACTCATCAGAGCAGGCAACGTTTCTCCAATCTTCTATTGTCCAGTTTTGGTGAGCCTGTGTGAATTGTAGCCTCAGTTTCCTGTTCTTGGCTCACAGAAGTGGCACAGAACTGCCGCTTACTGGATATTTTCTCTTACTTAGGCCACTCTCTTTAAATCCTAGAGGAGCTTATGTCTGAAAATCCCAGTAGATCAGCAGTTTCTGAAATACTCAGAGCAGCCCGCCTGGCACAAACAACCATGCTATGTTCAAAGTCACTTAAATCCTCTTTCTTCTCCATTCTGATGCTCACTTTGAACTGCAGCAGATCATCTTGACCATGTCTACATGCCTAAAAGCATTGAGTTGCAGCCATGTGATTGGCTGGTTAGAAATTTGCGTTAACGAGCAGGTGGACAGGTGTACCTAATAAAGTGGCCGGTGAGTGTGTATACAGATTGAAGAGGGGTTCTCTGTTCTCGCGGTCTCCTGAGTTCTATCTTCTAAGTTTAGCAAGACGGCTCACCATGAGAACACAAGTCTGTTCTCTGCATTCTTGGAATTGAGAAACAGCCTTAATGTCTTATTTGAGAGAAGATGCTCACTGAACAGTTTAAAGCAGTGGTCACCAAACTTGTTCCTGGAGGGCCGGTGTCCTGCAGATTTTAGCTTCAACCCTAATCAAACACACCTGAACAAGCTAATCAAGGTCTTAATAGGTATACTTGAAACATCCAAGCAGGTGTGTTGAGGCAAGATGGAGCTAAACCCTGCAGGGACACCGGCCCTCCAGGACCAGGATTGGTGACCCCTGGTTTAAAGTCTTCATTACTATACTGGGGCATTAGAACACACACACACACACACACACACACACACACACAGGGTTAACAGCGGACGCACCACCCTCCACTTCTTGCCCTCCAGCTCCAGCACGGGTGGATGTTTCCTGGCCGGATTAGATGAGGAAGAGCTCTGGGTTTTGGACGGAGAGTCATGGTGTGTTTTTCCACTCTGAGAACGCAGGTTTGGGTTTTTATGGGTCTTCTGTTCATCACACACATGCTTTAAACCTGCAGACAAAACACACACACACAAACACACACACACACACACACACACACACAATATATATATATATATTTAAATAAATCCCTGCTATATTTCACCTCATGACTGCTTATTCCACACATGTAAATATGGAGTGGTGGACTCTGTTGTAATGTGCGTGCACCTGATATAAAGTGTTTGTATTGAATCTACATTAACTGAATCAAAAATCATAACTAGTGAATGTTGATGTTGTTGAATGTGCTGATCTGAGTGGCTCCGTAGCTGCAGCACTGATGGAGGTGTAGGTTGAGTCTCTGACCTTTGGTGATCTCCTCTCCCTGGTTGAGCTGAGCGAACAGAGCCGCGTGCTGGACTGATGAAGCATCTGCTGGAGAACTGCAGCTGTCAATCATCATTGGAGGAGGAGGAGGAGGAGGAGGAGGAAGAAGAGGAGCACTGAGCAGAGAGGGAGGAGCTTTTGGACCCTGCAAAGAACAGACACTCAGACTCATTTCACAGCGGGAGAACAACAACAACAACAACAACAACAACAACAACAACAACAACAACAAGACATGCTCAAACATTTTAGGGAAATGATTATGGAAATATTTTTCATTAATAATTTAAATGGATGGATGGACAGAGAGACGGACGGAAAGATAGACATAAATAGAACGACTGAACTATAGATGAATAGACTTTGATGTACAGATAGATAGATAGATAGATAGATAGATAGATAGATAGATAGATAGATAGATAGATAGATAGATAGACAGACAGACAGACAGACAGACAGACAGACAGACAGACAGACGGACGGACGGACGGACGGACGGACAGAGAGATAGATAGACAGACAGAGAGATAGATATAGATAGACGGATAGATGGATGGATGGATGGATGGACGGACGGACGGACAGATAGATAGATAGATAGATAGATAGATAGATAGATTGACAGACAGACAGACAGACAGACAGATTAGATAGTTAGATAGATAGATAGATACATAGATAGATAGATAGATAGATAGATAGATAGATAGATAGATAGATAGATAGATAGATAGATAGATAGATAGATAGATAGATAGATAGATAGATAGATAGATAGATAGATAGATAGATAGATAGATAGATAGATAGATAGATAGATAGATAGATAGATAGATAGATTGACAGACAGACAGACAGATTAGATAGATAGATAGATAGATAGATAGATAGATAGATAGATAGATAGATAGATAGATAGATAGATAGATAGATAGATAGATAGATAGATAGATAGATAGATAGATAGATAGATAGATAGATAGATAGATATAGATAGATAGATAGATAGATAGATAGATAGATAGATAGATAGATAGATAGATAGATAGATAGATAGATAGATAGATAGATAGATAGATCAGACAGACAGACGGATGGACAGATAGCGTGTAATGATCATCTAACTCCAGTAGAGGGTGTATGAGGCAACAGATTGTGTTTGTACTGTTGTAGACCTGAGGTAATGATCAAGGTGACCTCCATTATAAATGCTGTTATTTTTGAACTCATGTTTACATTGTTTTAAATTATTAAGAGTCTGAAATTGCATAATAAATAATAATATAATAAATAGTAATTTCAGTGGTACTATACAGCTCATTCATTTAATCATTTTCTTTTCAGCTTAGCAACTATATTAATCTGGGGTTGCCACAGTGGAATGAACCACCAACTTATCCAGCTTTTGTTTTACGCAGTGGATGCCATTCCAGCTGCAACCCAGAACTGGGAAACACACACACACACACACACACACACACACACTATGGACAATTTAGTTCATCAGTTCCCCTATAGCGCATGTGTTTGGATTGTGGGGGAAACCGGAGCACCCAGAGAAAACCCCACACCAAAACGGGGAGAACATGCAAACTCCACACAGAAATGCCAACTGACCCAGCCGAAGCTCAAACCAGCGACTTTCTTGTTGTGAGGTGACAGTGCTACCCACTGTGCCATCCCAGTATAATATTAATATAAAGTGGCAAACTCTTAATATTGGATTTTATTACCCTGCTAAAAAATCCAGCTTAAACCAGCCTAGGCTGGTTTAAGCTGCATTTTTTAGCAGGGTATATTTAATAAAGCCACAAGTTTCATTAAACCGAATATGAGGACATCTCTAAAGTGTTAATAATTGATTGGGTCCTACTTTATATTAAGTGGCCTTAACTAATATGTACTTACATAAAGAATAATAATTAATTACAATGTTCTTATTGAGTAAATATGTGTTTTACATTGCACTCATGCTCAATTAAACACCTGCATGTAATTACATCTGCAATTAATTCCCGTAATTAGATTATTAATTACACTGTTGACCATCCCTTATGCCCTTAAACCAACCCATACTACCAAACATATCCCTAACCCTACCCGTATCCCACCTCAATCCCATTATGAACACAGATAGTAGCGAAGGCCACTTAATATAACTGACTGATCGGTAACAACATCACAATAAACACATCTCTTTAATAAAGACAGTTCACTGAGTGTGTCTCTAATGATCTGCTTCTGATTTGCCAGAGCAGTCCATGTGTTTCTGGCACAACTGTAGCGATGGTATTTGACAGCATTTACTGTAGTGAAGCAGATCAGTGTGGCACAGTTGTCTATTGTGTGACGCTGACAGCAAACGCGCGCCTGTTTTACACCGTCAGCACAGCTGCCATTGACAGATGCACACGCCGCTCACTTCAACACTTAAACAACTGTTGCACACTCGTCTTTTCCTGTCACACACACACACACACACACACACTTCTAATCCCAGTACGTTTGCTGATGTTTAACAGTTAGTCAAGTTCACCCCTGACCCTAAAGGTCAAAGCCTGTGGAAGAGGTGGAAGGTCAAAGGTGCTTAAACAAACTGTTAGAGGAAGTGGAAATGCATGACTGAAACATGCAATAAAAGGTATTTTTCTTTATGTATTTAAGTTTTAATGCCATATCAGCAGCATTGGCTACATCAGCTATTGGCCATTCATCTGTAATCATTGGTAACAAAAAAAGGTTTTATTTAATTTGATTTACTTTAATTAGTTTATATATATATTGGTTGTGAAAAAAAGTCTCATTTAATTTAATTTTTTATTTCTATGTATTGCTAAATTTATTGGTAATAAAAAGTGTCATTTATTTTGAGTTACTTTAATTTGTTTTATTTAATTGTATTAATTTATTATTTTTACTTTAATTTAATTTATTTATTTATTGGTAATAAAGTTTTATTTGATTTGATTTAATTGAATTATTTATTTATATTTATTGCTTTATTATTGGTGATAAAAAAACCCGTCTTATTTAATTTCATTTATTTATTTAAGCTTTAATGCCATATCAGCAGCAATGGCTACATCTGCTTTTTACCATTGACTTCTAATCATTGGTAACAATAAAAAATTAAGTTTAATTTAATTTGATTTACTATTATTTTATATATTTAATTATATTTATTTACTATATTTACTTTCATTAATTAATTATTATTTTTTGGTAATAAAAAGTCTTATTTAATTTGATTTAATTAATTAATTTATATTTATTGCTATGTTTATTGGTAATAAAAATTGTCATTTATTCATTTATGTTTTAATGCCATATCAGCAGCATTGGCTATATCAGCTATAGGCCATTCACCTGTAATCATTGGTAATAAAAAAAAAGTTTTGTTTAATTTGATTTACTTACATTTTTATTTATATTTATTGTTAATAAAAAGTCTCATTTAATTTTTTTTTACTTTAATATAATTTAATTATATTTAAATATTATATTTACTTAAATTAATTTATTTATATTTATTGGTAATAGAAAGTCTCATTTAATTTAATTTAATATAATTTAACTTTATTTATTTATTATATTATACTTTAATTAACTAATCAATTAATTTATATTTTTTATTTATTGGTAATAAAAAAAGTCTTATTTTATTTGATTCAATTTAATATTTTTTCTTTTAATTTAATTATTTATTTATATTTATTTCTATATTTATTGGTAATAAAAAGTCTTATTTATTTTAATATGATTTCATCTAATTATTTATTTATATTTATTTACTATATTTACTTTAATTAATTAATTTATATTTATTGCTAATAAAAAAGTCTTATTTTATTTTATTTATTCATTTGCGATATCAGCAGCATTGGCTTTATTAGCTATTGGCCTTTCACCTGTAATCATTGGTTATAAAAAAACGTTTGTCTAATTTGATTTATTTTAATTTAATTTCAATATTTATTTATTTATATTTATTGGTAATAAAAAAAGTTTAATTTAATTTGATTTAATTTCAATATTTATTTATTTATATTTATCAGTAAAAAAAATTCTCATTTAATTTGATTGATGTATAATATAATTTAAATTTTTAATAATTTAAAAGTAATAAAAAGTCACATTTATTTATTTATTTAATTAATTATTCCTTTATGTTTTAATGCCATATCAGCAGCATTGGTTATTTTGACTATTATGTCAACTATTGCTTTTATTGGCCATTCAGCTACGTATATATTTCAAAATATCTGTGCATCTTGGTGTTTCCATCAAGCATTTTTAATGCAATAATCCAAAATGTGCATGAACACATGTGGATGGAGACAAAACTCTAGCTCTGGAGAGTCTGCACAGAGCGCTAGTTTTCTGTCAGTATGATGGAGCGCTGAGCAGATGCAGGAGTGTGTGGCGGACGATCCTCAGTCAGAGGAGATGTTTATAATGTGCAGGACATGAGAAGAGAGCTTGAATTACGAGGAGTGTGTGTGAGAGCAGGTGTGTAAGCCAGACACACACTAGGCTTTTGTTGGGGGCATTTCTATGGTAAACCCCCAATGCAAGAAGAGCCAGGAGACCACCTGTCCACAGCATACAGTCCACACACTCACGGCAGGAGCAACAGCTGACACACACTTATGTATGGACACACACACACACACAAATGCGTGCACACATATACTCACACAAAATGCATAGACACACGCACACACTTTTGCACCTATACTGTACGCACACACACAAACAAGCACACATGCACACATCTAGACACACACACACTCATACATGCATACAATACACACATAGTCTTACAATCACCCACACACACACATACACAAACATGCACACTTACATCACAAACACACACACACAAACAAGCACACATGCACACAAACACACACTGTCTTTTTCACACACACACACACACACACACACACACACATATGTATATATATATATATATATATATATATATATACACACACACACACATGTATACACACACACACACACACACACACACACACACACACACACATACATACATACATACATACATACACACATTTATTCATTTACTTTTAGGCTTAGTCCCTTTATTCATCAGGGATCGTCACAGTGGAATGAACCGCCAACTATTCCAGCATATGTCTTTCACAGCTGATGCCCTTCATCACCAGGGGTGCCCACAGTGGAATGAACCGCCAAATATTCCAGCATATTTTTTACACAGCTGAAGTCCTTCCAGCTGCAACCCCTCACTGGGAAACACCCATCCACACTTATCCAGCTGCAACCCATCACTGGGAAACACCCATCCACACTCATCCAGCTGCAACCCATCACTGGGAAACATCCATCCACACTCATCCAGCTGCAACCCATCACTGGGAAACATCCATCCACACTCATCCAGCTGCAACCCATCCCTGGGAAACATCCATCCACACTCATCCAGCTGCAACCCATCACTGGGAAACATCCATCCACACTCATCCAGCTGCAACCCATCACTGGGAAACACCCATCCACACTCATCCAGCTGCAACCCATCACTGGGAAACACCCATTCACACTCATCCAGCTGCAATCCATCACTGGGAAACACCCATCCACACTCATACAGCTGCAACCCATCACTGGGAAACACCCATATACACATCCAGCTGCAACCCATCACTGGGAAACACCCATACACACATCCAGCTGCAACCTCTCACTGAGAAACACCCATACATACTCATCCAGCTGCAACCCATCACTGAGAAACACCCATCCACACTCATCCAGCTGCAACCCATCACTGAGAAACACTCATACGCACTCATCCAGCTGCAACCCATCACTGGGAAACACCCATACACACTCATCCAGCTGCAACCCATCACTGAGAAACACCCACACACACTCATCCAGCTGCAACCCATCACTGGGAAACACCCATCCACACTCATCCAGCTGCAACCCATCACTGGAAAACACCCATCCACACTCATCCAGCTGCAACCCATCACTGGGAAACATCCATCCACACTCATCCAGCTGCAACCCATCACTGGGAAACACCCATCCACACTCATCCAGCTGCAACCCATCACTGGGAAACACCCATCCACACTTATCCAGCTGCAACCCATCACTGGAAAACACCCATCCACACTCATCCAGCTGCAACCCATCACTGGGAAACACCCATACACACTCATCCAGCTGCAACCCATCACTGGGAAACACCCATACACACTCATCCAGCTGCAACCCATCACTGGGAAACACCCATCCACACTCATCCAGCTGCAACCCATCACTGAGAAACACCCATACACACATCCAGCTGCAACCCATCACTGGGAAACACCCATACACACTCATCCAGCTGCAACCCATCACTGGGAAACACCCATACACACTCATCCAGCTGCAACCCATCACTGAGAAACACCCATACACACACATCCAGCTGCAACCCATCACTGGGAAACACCCATCCACACATCCAGATGCAATCCATCACTGAGAAACACCCATACACACTCATCCAGCTGCAACCCATCACTGGGAAACACTCATACACACTCGTTCACTGCGGCAAATTTAGTTCATTAATACCCCTCTAGTGCATGGGTGTGGACTGTGGGGGAAACTAGAGCACCTGGAGGAAACCCACGCCCACACGGGGAGAACATGCAAACTCCACATAGATCTGACCCAGCCGAGGCTCGAACCAGCGACCTTCTTGCTTTTAAGGCGAAAGCGCTGCCCCACACACACATACGCACATTCACACACACACAGTCTCTCACACACATACATATATATATATATATGTAATGTGTGTATTTATATAGCGCATTTATTGTGTATGGCCGTACACCCAAAGCGCTTCACAATCATGAGGGGGGTCTCTCCACACCACCACCAGTGTGCAGCATCCACTTGGATGATGCGACGGCTGCCACAGGTCAACGGCGCCAGTGCGCTCACCACACACCAGCTATTGGTGGAGAGGAGAGACAGTGATAGAGCCAATTCGGTGGAAGGGGATGATTGGGAAGCCATGATCGTAAGGGCCGATAGAGGGACTTTGGCCAGGACACCGGGGTTACACCCCTGCTCTTTCACGAGAAGTGCCTTGGGATTTTTAATGACCACAGAGAGTCAAGACCTCGGTTTAACGTCTCATCCGAAAGATATATGACTGAACCTCTCAGGTTTCCATCTAACACACACACACAAACACACACACACACACACTCACCGCTTCAGCCTAGGACAGACACAATTTAACATCTTCAAATACCCAGAAATACACCGGCTTGTTGTCAGTTATTCCTTACCTAACACTTTATAATAATATTGTGCCTATATTTGACAGAGTAAATAAACTACCGCTGCTTTTACAGATTTAAGTCACTGCTGTTAGGAAACTCCAAAGGTAATCAAAGTCCGAGATGCACATGTAAATACACTATATAAAAACATTGCCTCCTCAGGCTGGAAGAGATATTTCCATAAATCTGACTGTATTATCTAGACAGATGTACAGATTTTATCCGTCTGCATCCAATTTGCATCCTCTGTAAGACTAAACATGGTCAAATATGCTTGCCGTTTTATTTCTGCTTACAACTGAAACGCAATATCCCACATGGAGAAGATTAACCTCTTCACAAAGCAGAGATTTCAGTGTGACTGAGTAATTCCTGTGCTATTGCTGTGACATTTGCTGTACAACTCGAAGCTTGAATTCACAGAATATGTAAATATGTTAACAGAATATCGAAGCATTTTCAAAACAACTAACAACGAAGTTAAGCATTGAAAAATATCAGGTCGCTGGTTCGAGCCTCGGCGGATATTTGGTCATCAGTGGTGCTCACTGTGTGAAGTGTAATAGAGTGTTTTGATTGGTGGTTCGCACTCACAGTCTTGCTCCAGATGAGTCCAGTGCAGTGATGCTCTCTGATGAACGTCTGCAGGTCAGTCCAGATGCTCAGGTATGAACGCACCCACTCCACATGACGAGCGTCACTGCGGTACAGTTACCAAAGTCATTTTAGTAAACAAAACCAAAATTAAAGCAGACCTACTATGCATTAATAACTTTTATAAGAGGTTTAGACAAGGTTGTGTGTCAGCAGTGTGTGAATATAACCCTCTTCTAATGGTAAACATTAATTATTTCTGTTTTTATGATCAGACTTGATAAATACAGTGTGTAGAAACAGTTTGATTGACATTCTCCCTTTGTACGTGTCATCAGAGGGGTAAAGCCCCGCCCACTAGTGACCATCTATACCTCATTAGCATAATACAAGCCCAGAGTGAGAAGTGATCTTATTCTACATCCCTACCCCTACCTAATACTTGAATTGAACTGCAGTGTGTGTGTGTGTGTGTGTGTGTGTGTGTGTGTGTGTGTGTGTGTGTGTGTGTGTGGCAATTACCAAATCAAATCCACATTATCTGAAGTAAATAAAACACAATACTAACGTGTCTTTGAAATCTTTCAGCACTCTATTAGTATAAAACATGGCAGCATCGTTCATCTCCTTCACATACGGCCCTGGTTTCTGACACTGCAAGTAAGAAAGGAAAAAAAATAAAGTTTAAAGAAGCATGTATATATACAGATAAAAGAGTGCATTTCTAGTAAACCGGTAATATTGAGGATATGGACCTTTGCTGTAAACAACAGCTGTAGTTAAAAGCAGAAAATGAAGGAGTCCAGATCAGCCTGAAGTCTAAATGCTATTACAGAGATTAGATAGAGCTCGCAGAAATCAGAGGAGTTTACATTTGGAGAAAATAAATACTGTTTCAAATATTGATTTAGTGGCAATGGTCAGTGTGAGGTCGGCCTGATGTTACAATCAAAAGAAATCTGCCTAATGGACTGATATGATATTCTTTGAGGTTTATTTGAAGGAATGCATCGCTCTGATCAAGCCAGGACTGAATAGAGCTCTATGTAGAGTTCAAAAACTCTTGCTTTCAGCAGCGCTGATGAACTCTGCTTGCCTCTAATTCTTTACACCAACCACTCAAACCTAAAATAACCAATAATAAAGTAAGAAAAGGTTTATGCAATTTACAAGTGTGCATGGTGAGCTAAAAACAGTCTTAGTGTAAAGACTTAGTGTAGTCTGTAAAGTAGTCTAGAGAACCATCTGCGGTTAAACACTATCCTAGAGCACCGTCTCCTATTCAAAAACTAGTCTAGAGCACCGTCTGCTGTTATAAAGTAGTCTAGAGTGCTATCTTCTTTAAATCTAGTCTAGAGCGCCATCTGCTGTGATAAACTATTCTAGAGCGCTGTCTACTATTAAAAACTAGCCTAGAGCACTGCCTGGTGTTCAAAAACTAGTCTAGAGCACCATCAGCTGTTATAAACTAGACTAGAGCGCTGTCTGCTGTTATAAACTAGTCTAGAGTGCCATCTGCTGTTATAAACTAGCCTAGAGCGCCGTCTGCTGTTAAAAACTAGCCTAGAGCGCCTTCAAGTGTTCAAAAACTAGTCTAGAGCGCCATCTGCTGTTTAAAACTAGTCTAAAGCACCGTCTGCTGTTATAAACTAGTCTAGAGCGCTGTCTGCTGTTATAAACTAGTCTTAGGTTAGACTAGTCACAGGTAAGAGATGCTCACCACAGCCACCCAGCCCAGCGCAGGGATGCTCTCGCTCACTGCAGACAGGTGGTTGAACAGGCTGCTGCCGCGGTTCTTCTCACGAAAATTCTGCACCGCCTGGATCTGGTCGGATAGAGGTCTGAGGAGGTCAGCCAGCTCCGTCTAAAGGGGAATAAAATGCATGGATTATAACACTGATAAAAAGTCATTTTGTCTTGTTTCTAGTGCAAATATCAAACAATTCTTAAATCAAGAAGCTTTATCAGACATAATGAGTCCAAATTTAGTCAGTTTTTTCCTTAAAACAAGTCAAATAAACTGCCAACGAAATAAGCAAAATATTCTTGTTTACATATTAGATTACATATCCTAAAAATAAACCAAGTCAACTAGGGACATGTGGTGTTTATTGTTTCTGATAATATTATAATTGTTGTTTTAATGATATGCAAGCTGACATTGTGCACTTGAGTATGCTCTTACAGTCCAAAAGTGCTGACTGTGTGATGAAGCCCATTACAATGCATTCAGAATGAGCCTATAATTCAAGTTATGCGAGCAGAAACAGGTTTGTGTTTTTGTAAGATACAGTATGATATCGCTTAACAATATCACACAAACAAGAGTGAATTCCTGAATAACAAGAAAGATGATCATTTTATAAAAACAACAAATGAGAAGTTCATATTGAGCGAGCTACATTTTTTTGGCAATAAAAATTGTTCAAACAAAGCTGAAGCGTAGGGCTGAGTGATTAATCGAACATCCAATCGCAATCATGATTTAAAATTTAGCTAAAGCTAAAGCAAGAGGCTGTATATATATATATATATATATATATATATATATATATATATATATTTATTCAACAGTTCTGTCTGGTTCTCAAATCTGATTGGCTGATGGCCGTGCGATATTCTGCAATATCAGAACTCCTACAGCCTCTTTACCCTTTGTGTATTACTCCGCCCACATACAGCCAGCAAAAAGCAGACACTACAGATCTACAGTTTAAAAGATGCTTTTAACTGTTTTAACAGCTGTTTAACTGTCAGCTTATGATTTGAATCCAATGTGGAAGAAAGTAGTTCCACATACAAAAGGGTTTTTGAGATTCTCCATGTTTGATTTTGTTTTTATATACACAATTATGCCGTCAAACTGTTGTATAAACGCAATATCACACGAGTAGCAATATCTGCTACTCGTGTGATATTGCTCATATATATATATATATATATATATATATATATATATATATATATATATATATATATATATATTCATTCATTCATTCATTTTTTTTTCGACTTAGTCCCTTTATTAATCAGGGGTCGCCACAGCGGAATGAACCGCCAACTTATCCAGCATATTTTTTACGCAGCGGATACCCTTTCAGATGCAACCCAGTACTGGCAAACTTGTTAAGTTATGCAATTTGTTTTCAGGTTCATAAAAATTGAGCTACAAATGACCGCTCTCTTAAATAGTGCACTATTTAAGGCTAAAGGGGTGATTTCAGAAACTGCCACTAAGTAAAAGCTGCACATCTCCAATTTAAATTGAGCTGGTCTTTGAAAGCAGGCACAGAGCAGTCAGAAGCACCCGAGCGGACTTTTAATAGCGGCTGTGTTTTTTCCAGTGAAGCGTCCAGCGAGTCTCAGCATTCCAGCGGTGTCGGGGAGATCCCTCGCCTTGTAAGGCCCTTTCCTCCTCTGCTGTTTACAGTTTACCTCTGAACAAGGCCAGCGGGAACACACTGTTTCCTTTGTCGAATCTACTGGTTTGTATTTATGCTTGTGTTCCAGCAGTTGCCATGTCCACCGTTTCAGTCCGTTTCATAAGAACTCGGTGGGAGAAAGAAAGAGGAAGATGGACTAAAAATACCTCTTGTTTTTATTTAGACTCTTCAGGTCAGGTTCATGTGCCACTCGACCTGACTGTAACCTCATCAAACCAGCGGTTAATAATGAAGACGGGCGGTGCGCGGGAAAATACTGAACATTTCATCTGAAAAACATACCAGTATCTAATTTCATGCAACACATTCTGGGTAATTTTAACTAAACATTGACACAAATGTGGATGAATCTTTTTTTAAAAATGAAAAAATAATGTAATGATCTGACTCAACTTTAGATTTAAACGACCCATCATTTGTAAAGAGTACTCCTACTTCATATTTAGATGCTAATATCTTTTCCATTAACAGGGCTCGAAATTGCGACCATTTTGGTTGCATATGCGCCCGAAATTTTATCTATAATATATTTGGGAGCATGTGTGCGAGTGTATAACATTGTTGTGTGCACCAGTTTTTACAGCAAAATGTTCACCACATGCGCGGATTTGGAAGACATTCACGCAAAATGCATCTCTGCACTTGAAACGTGAAACGCAGCGCTCAGGAATGGGTTAAAACAGTTGTCATGTCAACTTGCTGCAGTAAATAAAGCCAAGTCCGTAATGCTTGCCCCGCCTTCGCGCTCTTCTTATTGGCCCACCACTGCTCTAGCACTGAAATATCAGCTGTCAATCACTCAGTCAATGCCTTCTGGCTTAGGATGACAGAGAGAGCTACTACCACGAAACATGGTAAAGCGCTGAAGATGAGAATGAAGATAACACTGACAGAGAGTTATGAATGAATGAATGAATGAATGAATGAATGAATGAATGAATGAATGAATGAATGAATGAATGAATGAATGATATTTTCTTTGACCCAAATGCTGGGTTAAAGCAAGAATGTATCCAATAAATAAATAGCATCTACTATGTTTTAAAATAGTTCTAGTAACTAAAGAATAAGCTAATAAAGCTAATAAATAGCTAACTAATAAGTGCTAGTATTCAATGGAAATGAAATTAGTGTGTAAAAATGGAGTAAACATGAAAGCAGAGAAGAAACATTTCTAGATGAAATGCGTTTAGATAATGTCTTGTCTTAAAAAATGTATTTAAATGTTATTTTTAATAGTAATTAATTTTAGTTTTTCTTTTCGTTTCTTTTTCAATTTAATTAATTAATTTGTATTTAATTTTAATATTTTTATTATATATTTTTCCATTAATTAAATAATACAATTAATTAAAAAATTTAATAATTAATTTAATAAAATTTAAATTAATTATTTAAAAACAAAATAAAATATATAAAAAAACAAATTAATTAATAAATGAAAATAAAAAAATAACATAAAAATAAATTTTAATAAATAAAATTTAATAAAATAAAATAAATTTATTAATTACATGTATTTGATTTTTCTATTTTATTTAGTTATTTAATTGATAGTTGGTTGTTAATCAACCGTTAATATAATTATAAATAAATAATTCAATAATAAAATAATCGGCCAAAGGGGGAAACAGAATAATCTTATGTCAAAAGTAAAAACTAGATTATTCTGCTTCCCCCATTGACAGATTATTTAGCTTGTTTTAAGGAAAAACTCACTTCATTTTGACTCATTATTTCTGCAAACAACAGTATTTTTGCTCGTCTACAAAATACTTTAGAATATTTAGATATTTGGACAAGAAACAAGACAAATTCAGAAAATCTTGTTGTGTATTTGCTCATCTATATTGACTCTTCGGACTGAAGCGCTGTTGTTTCTCTCTGACATGAAGTGATGAAGTGGGAGTAAAAGACCATCATATTTGCATAAATTCCTCCCATAACAACATGCGCATGAGTTTCATTTTGCGAACAAAGGCGTCTTTTTCTGCCACTTTCGGACATTGCTGCGATTGTTTTTTCTGCATCGTTTTGAACTTCCCTTCCCATCATGCTCAGCCGAGGAGCGGGTCTGAAATAGCCTGTCTATCTCTGAGCTATGAATAAAGCCAGACCAGAGCTAACAGCAGAGATTATCAATTACACAGCAAGACACTGAGATTGCATTGGGCTGGTTCACTCTAAAGTGTGCACTTAGACTGCTCTATTTTTACTTATATACAGTGCTCAGCATATATAAGCACACCCCATTTTGAAAATGAATATTTTTATTAATTTCTCAGTGATTATGGGTAACATATATTGGTGCATTTAAACAAAACAGAATTATTGAACAGATATTTTTATTTAAATAATATTTTAGTCACAGAACTTCTTTAGAAATGGAAAGATATGTTTAAATCCTTGCAAAATATTGCAAAAGAAAAACACAACCTCACAATTTCAACTAAATCGTAAATATTTTTTTTATTTCTCTTGATTAATGCAATTTTTAAAATTTTATTTAATATTTTTCTATAACATGTAAATTTGGGCTACTAATTTTTGAACCATTACTGTAAGTTATTTTGTTAGATGAGCTCCAGATTTGGCTTCAGTACTGACTAATCTAATGTATATGCACAAATACAATATTGTAAAGCATCTTATTGAAAATAAATGGAATAAATTAAGTCATCTCCACATATTATAAATATGATCTGGAAAATATTCTCTTATTAAACAAAGATAAAATAATTTGAAATAATATACACATTTTAAAATTAAATGTAATTCGTAATACATATATTAATTGATATTGATTTATTTATAATTATATTAACAGCTGATTAAACAACCGACTGTCAATTAAATAACTAAATGAAATAAAAAAAACAAATACATGTAATTAATACATTTATTTTATTTGATCAAATAAATAAACTAATTAATCAATTTATTCTTATTTTACTTTTTTCATTTGAATTAATTATTAAATTTTAATTTTATTTTATATTTTTATATTTTTATTTTATTTTTTAATTAACTAATTTAAAATAAATTAATTAGAAAAAAATATTTTATTATTTAATTAATTAATGAAAAAAATTAAATATAATAAAATATAAAAAATAAAATAAAAATTTATGAAATAATTAATTTGAAAAAGAAAAGAAAAAATCAAATCAATTAATAGTAAAATAAGATTTATTTAATTATTAATTAATTTTAAAAATAAAATAAAATATGTTAAATAAAATAGAAATAAATAAATAAAAATAAAATAAATTAATAAAAATATTTAAATATAATAGAATAAAATTTATTAATGAATTTTTCAAATAATATAAAATAAATAAAATTAAAAAAAAATTATTAAAATTATATTAGTTGTTTGAACTTTGGAAGGTAGAATTTAATGAAAAGTTTCAAAATGACC